GACAACTTGCTCCAAAAATTATCCCAGGAACTAAAACATCAAGATACTTTTATGCGAGAGAGTATATCGCCCGCAGAAAGATTGGCTGTAACTCTGAGGTAAGTAGGTACAAAATTAAATGACATATTTTAGTTTAAAATTGTTTATTGCACACAAACAAAATTATTACATGTAATTGAATTTTAATAATTATTAATTTAAGAACAAGTAAATCAAAAAATACACTACGCTGAAAATGCTACTCAAGTGCGGTACTAAAATCGAATTCGTCTTCAATAGAAACTTGAGAATCTGCCGAGATACTTTCCGCATTTACACTATGTACAGATAATTGTGATTCGGGTCGGTAGTGGATTGGCTCTAAACCAGAACCGTGTCCAAAATCATGAGAAGACGTCTGTGGACGACTTATTCCATAGCTCGATCTAGCAGCTGTAGAATATCCATATGTTGACGATTGCGCATTTGAGGATGCTGTACCACTTAAATATCCTTGATGGCCTTGATCCCATTGGTTTCTTGATGTAGGTATATACTGAGTACACTGTCTTTGTTGAATATTTTTAATTATTGAAATTACTTGAAACTGAAAGTCTATCATATTTTCATCACTGAACTTGTCAACTGTATCAGCGATTCCCATAAAAAAGTTCATACTACGGCTTTTCTTTTTCTCATCTCGTTCTGCTGAATCCATAAACTTCATAAACCTAATGTCAACTTCACTTAGTTCATTTTTTCTTTTTTTTTTAGCCCTTTGCGTCTCACTCCGTTCAGTGTATCCCGAGCTTGATTGATTCGGGACTGCACTATCAAAATTTTCATTACTGAGGCTAGAATCATGAACATGTTCAGTCATGTTAGAATCGGTCTTGCGATGCTCAACATTTTTTTTTAGGAACATCATTTCATCATAGAACATATATTTTCTTATTTTTTTTGCTGAAGAACCAGACTTACATTCATTAATTTTTTTGTCATATTTTATCCAGCTATCTTTCATATTGGTCCACTTCTTCATCACCATTTGCCCTGAAAATAAATAAATAATAATTATTAAATTCAAAATTTATGAAAACCCCCCGACCTAAACTGAATCGACCCCGACCTAAAATGGGGTTTTAGTATTTGAACCTGAACCGTTTTGTTTCATATTTCAGGTATCTAGCAACAGGAGATACCTTTACTGACCTATACTACAGCTATAGAATTGGAATAAAAACCATAAGTTGCATCGTACGTGAAGTATGCCACTACATTTGGTTAGAACTGTATAAAGAATATATGAAAATGCCATCTAAAGAAGACTGGCTACACATTGCAAGCAAATTTCAAGAATCTTCCAACTTCCCGCTGTGCTTAGGAGCGGTCGATGGAAAACACATCAGACTTATTAAGCCAATTGATAGTGGCTCGATGTTTTTAAATTACAAACATTTTTTTTCTATAGTTTTGATGGCAGTAGTAGATAGCGATTACAACTTTATATTTGTTGACGTTGGCGCCTACGGAAAGGAGTGTGATTCCAGTGTGTTTAAAGAGACCCCATTTTGGAAAAATTTAACAAACAACGGATTAAATCTACCCGATGCAACACGTTTGCCTGGAATTGACTACGATTTGCCATATGTGTTCGTTGCGGACGAAGCCTTTGCTTTGCATTATCACTTGCTTCGTCCATTTGGTGGTCATCAGCTTGATCAATTAAAACGTACATTTAACTACAGACTCACAAGAGCGCGAAGATTTGTTGAATGTGCGTTTGGCATTTTATCCAATAAATGGCGAATTTTTCACCGGCCAATGAATGTGTCCATCGATTTGGCAGTTGATATTGTGAAAACATGTTGTGTTTTGCAAAATTTTATACATAAGCAGGAAAACTTTCAGTTTCACAATGCGAGTGAAAATGAGTCCACCCTTGATTCAGAATCGGAACTAATCCAGTTACCTATCACGAATGCAGTTCGCGGAAGTTTGGCGGCTAATGAAGTTCGCAACAGATTTGCACAATATTTTGTATCTAACGAAGGTCGCCTCTCCTATCAAAACAACTATGCATAAGTAAAAAGTTAATAATTAAATATCTGTAACTTACCAAACTTGTTTTTCTCATCACCACTTAAATCTTCAAATGTGGGCTGGAAATGAATAAATATTTCTTTCCAGGAATCATATTTAAGCCGCTTATTTTTATAATCGTCGATGGTCTTATCCCATATTACAGGCCTTTCTTGAATCAACGTAATTAATAATTCTTGATTTATGTTCATTTTATAATAAAATCGCGAAACAGCGTATATAAGCGGTCACGAATCCGTGCGTACGTCCGGCACCGTCGACACACCCCGATAGACTGCCATACAACACTGGTGAAAATCACGCCGTGCGTAGACGCGGCGCGCCGAGGGGCAGTCACGGCGCACGCGGCCGCGGCGCCGTGCCTTGGCGCCACCGTGCATGTCGACAAGCTCATATAGTGATCCATACCACACTGACGACCGTGCCTACACGCGGCGAATTAACCGTAGATTTTCACGGCGAGAAACCGTGTAATGGAAAAGAGGCCTTTTAATAGTTTTTCTCAGGGTATTTTTTAATCGAAGGTGAACATCTTATTTTTATCCTTGTATTAGATTATAGGGAGGCCTATGTTGATAAGACAGTTGATAAGACAAAACAAGACAAAGAGAAGGCAGTACAACTTAAAGCTTTGTTTTGATAGTCATTCTAGTTAAACATCAAAATGTTTTTACGATTAATATATTTTTAAAAATACATACTTAATTATGTTTACATTGCTATATGAGTAATTCCGCCTATGAATCTAATGGTCCCCACACACGGTCAGTCCAACTGATCATATCAAACTAAAACTGTTGATATTTTTTTAAATATTGGATTTTCGATACATCGATAAATAAACTTATATATAAAACTCCGATATTGATATATTTAAAACTTTTGGAACTGATCAGTTGGAATGGTCAGTTGGACTGACCGTGTGTGGCGTCCATTATAGAGATATAGATTGAAGATTAGCAGTACCTAGTTATGAAAATACATCTACTGCATTACATTGCATAGCACCATCTATCGATGACACTGGTTAACTATTGTATTTTTTTAACCAAAATGGTATTACGTTAATATTTGTGAGAAAACATTCTTTTTTGTATAATGTGTTTTAGGTATAAGTAATCAGTAAAGTACATTATATAACATAATGCAATTACGATATCTGAGATTTGATTAAAATGCACTTGATAACACAACGCCATCATTGAACGAATTCGTACCTACATTTCAACCGATTTTAATAAAACTAAGACTAAATGTTACTGGAAAATACGCGTTATTATTTTCTTAATGAATATTTAAAAAAATATTAGTACTTTAGACGTGATATGTTCATATAAAACAGACACACAATTCCAAATATGATAGAATGTATTTAATTACTTATTTACGCAGCAATTAATAAAATATCTATGTATAACGGGAGAGGTCCCTTTACAGCTGTGGATATTTATAGGCTGATGACAAAAAGGGATGAATATAGCACGCCAATTATATTTAATTACCTTACGATAAAAAGCAAAAGGAGCCGTGGTAGCTCAGATGGTTAGCGCTCGCTGTAAATTTCACAGTACGCGAGCAAACCGGGTTCGATCCCCGCTGGCACCAATGAAATTGTTAATTGCAATTTTAAGTGCTAATTTACCACGTGCTCGGCGGTGAAGGAAAACATCGTGAGGAAACCTGCATGTCTGAGAAATAAGAAAAAAAATTCGAAGACTTGTGAAGTCCGCCAACACGCATTGGGGCAGCGTGGTGGACGCATCCTTGCCCTAATACCCTCTCAGAAATGAGAGGAGGCCTGTGCCCAGCAGTGGAACGTATATAGGCTGTAACTTTACTACTTTTTACTTTTTTGAATTTGAATGCTATTTTCATCACTTGATAAGTTCGGTAAACTATAAGTAGTGCCATCTAGTTTTGAATCATCTGAATTACTTTCACCACAAGTAAGATCTTCTGACATAGATTGACTGTATGTTTTTCGAAATGTTATGTTATCGAAGAAATTCATATTGCAATTGAAATAAATAAATTTTATAATAAAGAGAGACTTCTAAAGCTGTAATGGTAATGTGGCAAAATGGCTTATTCCGTAGTGCAGTTAATTAAAAAGGACTAAGGCGGAAGCTTAATCCTAGAAGTAAAAGAAGTCTCACTGTAGCCGTTTCTTCAACCCCCACAGTGAACTAAAAACAACCTACGATCGAGCTGGCCCAAGGTGTTCGCACCGAGGGACTTTGTCATATTATGCTCTAGTAGCAAGGTCTCTCAGTTAAGTTCTCTCAGCGCAATCTTAGTGTTTACGAGTAACGACTAACTTTCTGTAACTGAAGACTCCAAGATAAAGTATTATCGATGTATACACCCAAGTTTTTGGCAGTGTCACTATTGGGAATATATTACCATCAAATAAAAGAAACAATGTTGATGCGATGTCAGCCCTAAAGACTAGGTTGGGTTGCCTTTTTATTAAAAAAGGGTCTTGTGATCTTGTCACTCATCATACGAAACAACAATAGTGCTATAAAATTGGTATCACTCTCTGAAGACTATTCAATACACGTATAAGTACATACATATACATTTGTCGGATTTTACATCGATAAACTACTTTGTTGCAACACGACCATTCAATTTTGTCCCCGGTCGCTATTGGGTTGTGTACGTAGATAAACAATTGACTACGTTGCATAATCGTTAGGAGTGCGGAGTGTTCGCACGGTATTCGGTGTTTGTCTGATCTTAAATAATACTAATAATAATATTAAATAATAATAATTAAATAAATAATAATGAGATGCAATCAAAACGCTATTACGTTGCCCAGCAGCGAATTATTGCTGAAAATTCGCCTGTGCTTTTACAGTGTAGCGTTTGTACATTTAGTGTTTACAGCCACAGTTACTCTGTCCATCGATATGTCTGGAGATCAAGATCCACAAATCGGCGCTTATATCCATATGAGATGGAAACTGATTACTTGTTGGTTTAACGTAAGTATTTTAAGTTGAATTATTTTGATTTAATATCTTCAAACAGAGAGAATTACAAAGGTCGGAAATATTTAAAATATAGAAAACTTTTAATTGAATGTATTATATTTAAAGTAGTTTTGTATAATGTAAAGTCTTTAGGTATGGCCAGGGTACTATGATATTGTGTTGTACTAGGTATATTTAAACTAGCTTTTTGTCACGCGGTGTCACTAGTGTCCATATTAGGACGTCCAGATAGGCACTTCGTGTTTTGTAAATTATCATTTCCAAAGTAGAATATTAATTAGTAGAACAGACAGACAGACATGCATCCTTCGATCAACAACACCATATGTTTTGGTTTATTATTAAGTTCTTACTATACAACTTAAATAATATTACAAAACATTCATACATAACTTAAATAGCATACTTATTTGGCAAGTAATAAATAAATAAAATTATGGCAAGTAAAATTTTTTGAACTGGTTGTGTTTAGATAGAAAAAAAGTTTCGAATAACAACAATAATACTAGCTATAACGCGCAACTCAATAATGAATCACACAATCTCCGAGTATACCTAATACTCGTAATAACGCTTGCTACACAGACACTGTGCGCAACGTTCAGCATACGGAATTCCGATTTGGGATTCCATATAAAATGAAAGACCTATCACACACCTATGGTGGTTTTTCGTACGGAATTTTATCGGCAAAACGGGATTCCCTGTGTGTGGCCGACCCGTTCGTTACGTTTCAGAATTCCGTAACGGAATTCCAAAACAGAATTCCGTACGTAGTGTGGCCCTAAGCAAGCCGCGTTATGTTAGGCCTAGCGAAGGTAGCAAACTATGGAGTGTAGAAGTAAGGAGTACCAACTCCCATAGTAGAATAGTTGAAAAAGTGGCCATCTGTAAGCAGTAAGTAACATTTCAAAAACTTTTCACAACAGCGCTGGAGTAGCTACTGGGATGAAATGAACTTACAGTTGTCGACGGTTTGAAGTGTGCTGCTTAACTGCTCAGTAGCTCTAAAACCTAAAATAATTTTATTATATAACCTCGAAAAAGTCGTCTATCCTACTAATATTTTTGGTAAGTTTTTCAAATTTAGCTCGTAGCTATAGTGGCGCCACCATTATTTAACGGTTTGCTATGTCTCTGTACTAACTTCTACGCTCCATATAGCAAACGTTACACTGAACGTTACCAGCGTCACGTCGGTGCAATGTTTAATACTGTATGGCTTGCGACCGGTCAAGTGATTGTTCACGATGCACACGGTAAACCGTTTATTATTCGATGTTGTTCGGTCTGGAGGACATTATTATTATTATATCACAGACACGGCATCAACGGTAGACTTACTTCATAGTAGAGCTACCTCTCCGTAAGGACGGCCTAGGAATAGCTTAGTTGCATCCATAGAAGACATGCCATGATAACCAAAGTCTTTACTAATATCACCCAACATTGGTAATTCCGTGGGTAATGTAATGACCATGTCTCTTGGAGTACTATATCTAATGTCTACAGTCTGACAGACTTCGTTCACATTCAATAGATTTATTCATATTTTTTACAATTAAATCTTAATATACTATTACATTTAATAATCAATAATTTATTGATACTGTCTATGATTTAAACAATTCCTACAGATAATTTTAGTTTTTACAACTCGTAAAAAGTACCTATTTAATTAATTCGAATGTTAACTATTGTTATCTATAATGGATAAAATCTATACGTAGGCTATGATTCTGTCCATCGTAACTACTTTGTGTGTTAAAACTTAAAAACATCGTGATAAGCCGCAAGGCGATTGGTTTGCGTTTCTCATTCGTTTCTCACTTTAGACTAAATGTTGGGCTGTGATCGGAACTAGCTTGGATTTTTTTAAATTAACGATTCTCTGGCATTCAGGATTTCTCTTGTACCGTTAAGGCGTATTACATACATAAGAAACATTCAGACCCACAAAAAATATTTTGGACCATATAACTATTTGTTCCGTGCGGAATTCGAAGGAGTGCATACCGCAACCAAACGCTTGGTCACTGCTATCTTGCCGTCTAGTATTATCTAGGTTAATCAATAATTAAGCTTTTTACCGTACTTTCCGTTATCGTACGTTCATGTTTTGATTGAACTTACGTTAATTATTGTTGTGAAATTAAACAATAAACAATGGAGGCTTATTTCCCAGCATCATTTTTAAAACGCGATAACATTAAAAAATTATCTGGCACTTATAGGTCCCATGTTTTTGCTGAAGTTTTGACAAATAAGAATGTGCCAACTATGTTAATTGCATAGCATGTAGTAAAAAACGACAAATGGCGTAGTAGGTTTAGGTCGTAGGGTAGGTAGATTAGTCAGGTATGCTGATCTATCGCATATATAATCACAGACAGCATTGTTCACAAGACAGCGAGAGAGGCATTTCTCAACTGGAAAAGTATATATTAAAATAAGTAAGCGAAAAAAAAATTTGTCCGTTTAGTCAAACACATATTATTTGTGTAACTGAATAATAATCATTGAAAAACTTATATGTCGTATATTAATTTATAAATATTGGTAATCATTGGTGATTTTAATGCCCACCGCGCCGAATGGCTCCAGGGAGATTTGTTTATGACTTTGCCTTGGCATATGGTCTTACTCAGCTAGTTACTTCGCCTACGCGTTTTCCATATATGGAGGATCAGGCATCTTCCCTTTTGGAACTTCTGCTGAGTTCTTATCCGGACGGATATCAGGTTTCCGTCGATGCCCCTCTAGCCTCGTCGGACCATTGTCTTGTTCGGAGTGTGTTTGACGCTATAGGTCGGCCGATTGGAATAGGAGCGGTCTTTTTTTGCATCCTACCCTTGGGGGCGGGTTTGCTTCTCGTCGGACGATCCCAGCACTGTTGCCGCCTCTATCACTGATGTGGTACTTCAGGGCATGGAACTTTTTATTCCGACCTTTGTGGTGCCCATCGGAGGCAAGTCCCAGTCATGGTTTGGTCGCTCCTGTAAAATGGCATCGCTTTAAGCAGGAGTGCTACCGCATCTGTGTACTGGACCTAGGCTGACGTATCAACGTCTCGGGGTGGAAACACCAGCGCTCCTAAAAAGAAGTGTATTAATTTATTAATATTGCAGATCAGACAAAGCAGCCCCATTGTCTATCCTGTTTTCCGATACTAGGTTTCTAAAACCAACTGAAATCGTTTAGGTAGTTATAGAAGTGCATAAAACAATTAAAAGACAAGATAATTATTTAAGACTAATATAAATGTCAGATGAATATTGATTATATATGTAAGTGCCTACAAGAATCAACTTGCTTTAGTACTTACGAAATCATTTATTATTTATTGCCTCGTTGGTCTAGTGGTTGTAGTAGTGCGGCTGCTGATCATGAGGTTCTGGGTTCGAATCCAGGGATTACCGGGCCAAAAAATTAATTATTGAGTTTTTCCGCCAAGAAATTCTCAGTAGTTACCCGGAGTCAGGAAGTTGGCGGTGTCTCGCCCCCGTGCCTCGGAAAGCACGTAAAGCCGTTGGTCCTGCGCCTGATCTCTCTTCGGTCGTGTCGGTTTACCGTCCCATCGGATTATGAGAGTGAAGGAATAGAAAGTGCACCTGTGCTTGCGCATACACTTGGGCACTATAATCCTGTCCTGCGCCGATGGCTAGTCTCCGTTGAGGCAGGCCGCCGTGGCCGAAATTCGGTCTGGACGACATTCTATCCAAACTATCTATTATTTCAGATTCTATCGAAGTTGTTCATAAATAATTATTAATAAATTTTAACTTTGAAAAACATCCTTCTCCAGATGCGGTTACTGGTATTGACAAAAGTATTAGTGATAATGATTAGCACTATAAGTATTTCCTGTTTGAATATCTCGGACTCAACCAATGTCTTCTCCGACTAATAAGTTAACGCGAGATATTGTACTCGTAACTGTTGCTAAGTCGACTGCGAAAGGAAACTGTCGCGAACAATCGAAACGATTTTACTATCGAAACAATGAACTTTAACATTTGGGACTCAGCCATCGCTGATAGTTACTGAATAATGAATATTTCGAGACGCCACGCTGCGGCTCGATTCCTTTGCACGTAACTATCACTTAGAGCAGCGAGGAACTCACCGGCACCGCGTTGTTTCATTGTTTTTTCCATCAAATTTCATATCAAAAACTCTATAAACTCTGATAATAGTATCAACTACCCATTTGGAGGCTGTATTATACTAGTTGCATACTGTAGTGAAGTCAGAAAAAATTAAGTAAGCGAAAACTACACTTGGTATATAACATTACACGTATACTGGCGTATTCACGGTTATTTTAACTAATAACCAACAACATAACAACAACAACAAATAACAAATACAAATACGTTGATACAAAGCACTCGAAAAGTAAGGAATTTAAAACACGTTAAAATAATCGCCGAAAAATTCGTCACAATTTATATTTTTTATAGAATAAATGTGATAAACGACAACACAGTCTATCTGATGGGAAGTGGACGCTGTGGCCTAGTCATCTATATTTATGTTTGTCAAAATTAAGAGGTATCTTACTCTTGGGGTTATACCCCAGGAGTAAGATAAAATGCTTCGTTTCTACCACACACAGCAGCATTAAGCTGATATTTTAAAAAGGGATTTATTAATATTTATAACCATTTGTATACGTACATTTATATTTCTATACACATACATCTTATTTTTGAGAGAGTTTCTTGAGCAGGGAAGAGTTACTGTAATGGATGTTGACGGTTTTTACAAATGCTTAACATATTTTTTGGAACATAGCTATTGACTCAAATGAACATTTTTTTTTTCATTTCAGCTCCTCACTATGTTATATTTTCCTGTCTGTCTGTACTGTGATTGGAAGGAGCGGCACGGCCAGTGGAACTCGAGACGTGTCGCCATGCTTAGACAGCTGAAAGACCGCGTGATGACAAGTATTCTGTTTCCGGTTACTTTAGTAAGTTTATTTTATTTATTATTTATTGTACACCACAAGCAAAATGGATGCAAAAGGCGAACTTATCACCCTGAAAGTGATTTCTTCCAGACAACCCTGGAGTAGAGAACTGATGTATTTTATAATAATACAGTTTTAGTTTTAGTTGTGTAAAGGTTGTACAAAAGTGAAAAACATCTAATTATATATATATATTTTTTTTTTCCTTTTTTTTGACCCCCTCCCGTATCCCTCGCTGTGCATCAGATGCTGCATACTCTTCCTGAGTGCTCACGACTTAAACTGCTCGGAGCAGGCGGAGCAATAAGGCCAAGGCACCCCTGACACGCTATCCGTGAATATTTGCAACATCAGGGGACTTCATTCAACCTTAACGTTGTCCACTACCATCTGGAGACGGCGAAGCCGGCCTTGCTCTTTTTAACCGAGACTCAGGTATCCTCTTCGGCTGATACTTCATATTTCTCCTACCCGGGGTACAAATTAGAACACTCCTTTGTGCCCCAGGCTGAAGTTTGCGTATACGTCAGAGAGGACATCTGTTTTCGACGCCTCGGCAGTCTTGAAGGTTCGTTGCTGTCCACCCGTAGTACACCGTATCCTTAGTAGACCTGTCCCATAGCGGTAATTCCGAAACATACGACTCATCGACCACGTCCAAATGGCTACAGATTCCGTGCTACAGCAGATCCCATCCACGGGGATCGTGATCATTGGCAATTTGAAGGCCGGCATGGTGGGCCTGGGCCTTCACGTTTAACCGATTGTGTGGGTAGATCTGTTTATGCAAAGGTAAAATATCTAATAATTGTGACTTTGGCATATGGTCTGACACAATTGGTTACTTCACCTGCACGGATCCCAGATGTAGAAGATGATACACCTTCCTTGTTGGACATTCTGCTGACCTCTCTTCCGGACGGATATCAGGTTTCCTTCGACGCCCCTCTAGGCTCGTCGGTCCATTGTCTTGTCCGGAGTGTGGTGTCACATTAACGTCGCGGTTGCATTCTGCACTTACTGTGTTTGGTACTATAAGGTCGAAAAAAGTATAATTCAGTCAGGTCCTTCAAAAGAGTCATTGCCAAGGCAAGGTCTGAGCACATTGACAGAATTGGCAAGAAGCTTGTTCGTCTTCTTGCGGGAACCCGTGCATTCTAGCCTCTCACCAAGGCTGTCCAAGGTGACTTCTGTCAGCCATCTTTTCCATCTCTGCATAGAGAGAACGACTCGCTGACTTTTACTGTGCCTGATCTCTCTCCCGTAGTGTCGAAATACCGTCCCATCGGACTATTAGGGAATAGATTGCACCTCTGTTTGCGCATACACTTGGACACTACAATTCTGTCCTGCCCAGGTCTCCTTTTAGACTGGCCGCCGTGACTGAAATTAGGTTTGTAGAACATTACTTCTATTAACTATGACTAGATTTCTTCTTCTGTTCTTTTGTTCTTTCTTTTCTTTATCAGTCCGTTACAGTCCACTGTAGGACATGGGCTTTTCCTATTGCATGCAAGTGCCCATTGTCCATATGAAGTCATTCATATTTAGGCTGACTCATATGGGATGTTAAATATTATAAATATATATATGAAACAGAAATTTAATATTTCTCAAAAAATTTCCGTTGAATGAAATCAATCTATAGATAATTATAATTAATATTATCAGTCTATGAAATGGTCTATCAATGAATACTACTTTCTGATTTGTACGAAACTTTTTACCCAGCGGTCGGCTTCGAGGCCAAGGGCATCACGTAAAGTAGGGTGCACATGATTTGAATTTTGATATTTTTATCGCTCTATTTATTTTTTCAAAATACAAAAGTTTACTTAATAGTAAATTAAAAAAATATTTGCTTATTAGCTATTTATTGGCTTCTACTTTCTATAGCTAATTATTACACCAAATTTTAATATGTTTAAATTTGTAATATTTCAGTTTGCTGATTTCATGTTCTGGCGCATGTGGCACAAGGATTTAACATTGATAGCACCGCCAAGAATATTTGCGTATCTGCCATACTGGGCGCAACATTCCCTTCACACAGTGTCGATGGTCATAATGGTTTTGGATCTTCTGCTCGTACCTCGGCGAAGACCTCACAGTATGTGGCCTGGCGTTCTCATAATGCTGTCATTTTTGGCGACATATATGTCCATGTGAGTGGAACAATGAATTTTTATTTTATTGAAATGGTTAAGTTAGTTTTTCTATACTGGGTGATTTTATTACCGTCTAGAAAAAAAGGGTTTAACAGGTGAACGGATTAAAAGCCAACGGCACTGATATTTTACATATTTTTATTTTAGATTAACATATTATGAAATTGATCTATCTATAAATGCTACTAAATTGATATAAACTTTCGGTACTAAAAATAAAACAACAACTAAATAAATAAATCTATTAAAAATATCGTAATTAGAATAACACGTACCCAATTAGTAGTATTTATTGATAGATCAATTTAATAATATGTTAATGTAACATAATGATAATAATAATAATAATAATCGGAGATACATTCTAAAGGATGGCACCGTCAACGTCTGTCGAGCTTGTCGCCATCCCGGTGAGTCACTTAGGCATGTCATTTCCGGTTGTTCGGCGCTTTCTAACTCTGAGTACTTGCACAGGTACAACCTAGTAGCCAGGATTCTATACCAGGAGCTCGCTCTGAAATACGGTCTCGTGGAACGGAAATTGGCGTATTACAAGTACTTGCCGGAAGCCGTGCTCGAAAATGACCGCGCCAGGCTCTACTGGGACCGGGCCATCATCACAGACAGGACTATTCTTGCGGATAAGCCTGATATTGTGCTGATGGACCGGGCACAGTCAAGGATATTTTTGGTCGACATTACTATTCCGTATGGCGAGAACCTCGTGAAAGCCGAAACAGATAACGAACAAAATATCTGGACCTGGCTCACAAGGTGACTGACATGTGGGTGGTCTGCCGGCCGAAATTATTCCTATAGTCGTCTCTGCGAATGGGCTAATCCCAGCCAGCCTCTCGGGTCATCTGAGGCGACTGGGACTCCGTGACGGACCGCTCTGGGCTCAAATGCAGAAGGCGGTGCTCCTCGATACCGCCCGCATCGTCCGCCGCTTTCTCTCCCTTTCCTCCTAACCCTCGGGCGTTTGGTCTCCCCTGCCGAGGGCTTCCAACTGGTTGGGTCTTTATTTATGTATTTTTTGTATATATTTTATTTTATTGATATTTATGTATACATATTTATCATTTCATTTTAATTTATAATTGTATATTTATAGAACCCAACCAGATGAGAAAACTACATAGATACTCCAAATAATAATAATAAAAGTCTTTATTTGTCTCAAAAAAATACAAATTCATCAACATAAAGAAATCTTATCGTGCTAGTTGGAGACAAAATATCGGTGCCATAGGATTCTATTCCGTACACCTGTTACACCCTATTTTTTCCAGACGGTAACAAATCCAGTATATGTATATATAAATATAATAACACGATCGTTCACCGTGCAGTGGCGGTGTAAGAATATCCACAACCCAATATTGTCCCGTGGGTTTCGTTAGAGGCGACAGAGGGAAAGCAACCAGTAAATGGGCAACAGGGTTTTCCTAAAGACAGTCAAAAATAAAAAAAAATACGTGTGGCACTCGGTGACTGCCGCGGTAAAGCTATTGCACAGCATTTTTTATCAACTTATGCAATTATAATTATTTATTTATTTTATTTATGTAGTTAAGTCTTTGATATTAAATCAAGTTACACTTTTTGAGCGTGGTGACAGATAAGAAAACAATTTTTTTTCTCTTATTGAATAAATGAGAAGTTGATATTGTTTAAAATATTTTTAATATCTTACAATACATGTAGGTTATTCAGGAATTTTTATCATTGAGTTAGCAGCTAGTGTACACGCATACGTCTAGTCGCACTGAAACGACGTTAGACGATGCACGGCTTTCAACGCCACACCTCCGTGCCCGTCGGAGTGGGGAGCGTGAGGTTTTTTTTCGTTACGGAATTTCTGGATTCGGTCCCCGCGCTCAAGGCCCGCGATAGAAGCTATGCAATAGCTTAATAAACTGCAGTCCTCAACCAGCCTGCTAACAAGGCAACTATGGTAAATAATATCCCCATAAGGCAATCTATGAGGAAGGCCTATGTCCAACTGTGGGCTTTGATAGATTGTAACGGTAACGATGTGATAAATTATTAGACGGCTCCGTGGCGAAGTGGCTTAGCAACGAGTGGTTGCGCTGGGGGCCATGGGTTCGAATCCCGCACGTACAACTATTTGTTCCGGTTCTGGATGTTTGTCCTTGTGCAATTTATGTTTCTAAACTGCCTCCACGATACAGGAGAAAATCTAAAATAAGCAAACTCGTACTGTTAAGCGAAGTGAAGAGTAGCCCTCGCTAGCTGGAGTGACAACTTGGTAAGACATACAGGAAGTCTATGGATGGAGGACACTCGGGACCATGCTTTGTGACATTTCTTGGGGTAGACCTATGCAGCAAATTCATAAATGGTACAGCCATTGGTACAACCATGATGATGAGTGTACTAAATGACAAGGAGTAGGGTGGATATGATTTGAATTTCAATAGATTCTAATTAATTTATAAATTTAATTCAAAATGTTGGTTTTATTTTTTTGTAAAATATCAGTGCTATAGACTTCTGCTCCGTTCTGCACATGTTACACCCTATCTTTATGTGCATTTGCATGATCATTTTACTTGTTTATTATGGTGTGGTGAATCCCAGTTACTGTAAGATAGATTAGAAGTCTCACCAATATTGAGACGACTAGATTAGTTTATTTTATTTACTTTCATAGCGTAATGTCTTATGGAATCTTGTTATGGGGTTATTTAAGTAATCTTTGTTTTGCAAAACGGAGCCGGCGATTTATAACTTTAATTGTGAATCGTCGCTTTGAGAAAACAATTTAAGAAATAAGCATATTACTTTGGCACGTTATTTATGAAATGAATATATAAACATAAATAGCTTTCATAAGAATAAAAGATGTTTATACTTTAAATACTAGAAACATACATTAGCTTGTAATACCAGTTACTAGACTCCTCAGAATTAATAATTTATTTATGGGGCAATGTATACGATTTTACAACAAAACCCCAGAAAATGTACAAAATATGCCATTAAACAAGTTTAAATATTTTATTAAAAGAATTGTATAAAAAGGGTTATTATAATATCAAAGAATACATAAATGAAAATAAACCCTGGGAGTGTGGTGATCGCTACCACTGTACAGAGTTATTGTAAAGTGGAATATGTTTAAAAAAAGTCTCGCTGGGTTTCTTGCTGGTTCTACCTAGGACGGAGGTTTTACCGAACCAGTAGTGAATAAAAAAAACTATCAATAAGGATTGTGCAATAATCTATATTTAAAAAAAAATTATTTATTCATTCATTCATCCGTCCAACAATTCATTCATTCATTTAAATCATTCATTCAGTCCAAGTGCTATTAATTATCAGTCCAAGCAGCACACAAGCGTTATGAACATCAATATACCAGCCCAGTTCTTTTAGAAGAATGTACGAGTGTTGAAAAGAAGTGGTATCCTTATAAGAGTGATTTATGAGTTATATTATATATTATATATTATACAGCTTAAGCTGTATAAAGTCTTTATTATGGGATCTAAGTAAGCTTAGGGTTCTTAATCCGTATATGAAACCTTTATTATACCACTTTAAGTATTTTGTAATACTTTAATCTGATTTTATCATTAAAACTGTATAGAAGCGGTTTCTTTTGTAAAAAGTGTTATTATAGTATCATTAAAATCTTATTTCTGAACAATGGTGTATGCAAACTTATTTATGGCCTAATTGTACACTTTTATAAATACATACAGTAGTTTTACAACTTTTTTCTATAAAGGTGTTATAAAACTAAAAAAATAACAGCCCTAGTATATAATTTAAATACGTATAAGTGATAGAATATCGCCATTTGTTATGCGTTACGTGTTTATAATGTGATAGTGAACCAAATTAATTTGTTATCAATATGTGGAAAAAAGAAAAAGATTTTGTGCAGTTAGAAGATCATGTTAAATTGAAATAGAAGTTATCCAACACTACTCCCAAGACAAGGTTTTTCATATTTTATATGTATCTCTAAAAAAAAGAATTATATGTTGTGTTGAAAAAACTGGCTATTTTGCTGGCGCAGCAATTTTTTGATAATAAAACCTATCCAAATTTACCGTGAATCAATTTTTTTTAGTTTCAATTCATTCGTATGATTTCTGCCAATTTTTTCGCATTTGAGAACTATATAAAGGCTTATACAGCTTTTATACAGCCTGAAAATACAGCCTATGGTATAAAAACGAAGTTCAATACGACTCGTATACAGCTTGCATGTTGGACCGATTTAAGAGAGGGCAACATGGGTTGAAGCGCCGGAATCTCTATTGTTCGTAAAATTAACTTACGGCATGTATGTAAAATGTAAAACCGAAGGTGTCGCACTACATTAAGAATGTTAGTATAAAGGAAAATTATTAAGAATTTTATTCAAGACCCCTAGCTCTTTGTTGTACCTGGATTTCCATTTCTTGTTTGACAGAGATGTTAGTTGTACTATATTGCCGAAACTCTGACACTACATCAAAACCCTAATTTTTAGTTAAGTTCAAGTATTTGTGTTTTGTATTGTTGATGGTATGAAGCTATTAACTAACTGCTCCATAACTCTTACATATCTAAAAGGAAATGATTAGATGATATTGTAGCCAATTAATGTCTTATTGTCTCTCGTAAAGATTAATTCTTAACAACACTTATACGGCCGGCAGTGAAGGAACACGTCTAGGAACCTAATGTCATCACTGGTATCATTTAACAATATTATTATATAATAATATAACAAAATATTACAGATTTTTTAATTGCTGGTAATTTTTACTCTACCACATTAGCTGCGTTATATTGTGTTGATATTTTATTATGGAAAAATGAGTATTTGATACGTGGATATTACAATTTCTTTCGATGCTGGTATGGTATGTAAATTATTGCTTAAGTAGCAGCTACTTAAGCTATTTATGTATCATCTCATGACACAGATGGGCGTAATTATTACGCGGTGGCATTTCGGACTATAATTATATTGTATTTTATTCCCTTTGTTTTCTTAAAAAAAGACTGCGTAACCCACACGTCCTCTATGCGGTGCTCCGTTGCCGACCAATTTTCAGATGCGGAGGGTGGAATAAGTGGCACCTCGCAAATTAGCAGTGTGGTCTCAAAGAATCCTAGAGAATCCGCCATACCAATACTCCTCTCACCTCACGACTCCAATTTGACTGCAGCGGGAGGGGTAGAGGTCACACATGTTAAGTGGGCTTGCCAAGCCAACTCGGGGTGTAAAACTTTGACTAACCTCATTCACCTCGGGCCAGCCTTGTGGGTTCCTCCTAGGTCATCGAGAATCGAGGATGACCAAGCATACAGCTACTAAGCCTCTTCGCCATGACAAGGTAGAACCCGTTCCAGAAGTTGAAGTTTGTCCTATTTTATAGTGTCTATGACGTAACGATTATGCTATAGTTAGCTATAGGTTGTATTTGATTATGCTGTAGTTTATTTATTTAATACTTTTTTGTACTAAAGGTACAAACGGCGGACTTAATGCCTTATGGCATTTTCTATCAGCCAACCGGAAAGTTAGCGGGAGAAATGGGTACTGCAGCGGGCTAGGGACACATACACGCACACACAAATGTAGATCATACGAATTTAAATATATTTAAAGACATGATAGGTATATAATCTATTTTACGTACTTATGTATATAAAAGATTGTATTTTTATTTATGTGTTAGATGAGCCTAAGTAATGTTTTTTTACATTTGTTTAAAAAAACACTTGTTAGGGGATTTTATTATTACTAAAGCAAGCGCATTTCAGAGTCGTACAATTGTAACGGCCGAGTAGTTTGAGAGAAAATTAGTACGCTGAGAGGAAATATGCATTAAAAGATTTTCATGAGACCGATGATGCAATGATGGGAAGAACACTGGTATTAAAACTTACATTTCAAATAATCTGGGGCTAATGGTTCGTTAAGGATAGTGAGAATGTTAAGATTTTTAAGATTCCTGCGTTGTAACATATTCAAAAAATATTTTATTAAAATATAAGTTGAAAGCTATAGAAAGAAACCTGGTCATACTTTCAAAGACCGAAAAGTTGACCTGAGTTGCCAAACCGTCGCGTCGATCGCGCCGTCGGCCGCCCCCTTTATTTCATGTGCCGTTTGCTTTCACATAGAAATATAAATCTTTGGTCATATAGATCATTTTGTTTATAGTAAACCAGCCTTTAAAGCTAAAACTATTAAGATTCTAAATGAGATGCAAAATGAGTACCTAAATCAAGGTGGTCATCATTACAGCCCTTTACAAGTTATTAGTCGGATTGTTTATCCTTTACGGGTACGGCTATTTATATGGCTATGAGTATTATTGGTGAAAATTAGACATAAGTGTAGTAGACAATTACATAAAAGCATGTTGGTATATAACTAGCTAACTAACCTGGACACTAAATTTTATGAAAATCGTTGAAGCAGTTTCCGAGATTCCGATTATATATATATATATATATATATATATATATATATATATATATATATATATATATGATTAGTAATGATGACCAATGATGACCACCATGATTTAGTAAATCAAAAGATTTAGGTACTCATTTTGCATCTCATTTAGAATCTTAACAGTTTTAGCTTTAAAGGCTGGTTTACTATAAACAAAATGATCTATATGACCAAAGATTTATATTTCTATGTGAAAGCAAACGGCACATGAAATAAAGGGGGCGGCCGACGGCGCGATCGACGCGACGGTTTGGCAACTCAGGTCAACTTTTCGGTATCTGAACGTATGACCAGGTTTCTTTCTATAGCTTTCAACTTATATTTTAATTAAATTTTTTTTGAATATGTTACAACGCAGGAATCTTAAAAATCTTAACATTCTCACTATCCTTAACGAACCATTAGCCCCAGATTATTTGAAATGTAAGTTTTAATACCAGTGTTCTTCCCATCATTGCATCATCGGTCTCATGAAAATCTTTTAATGCATATTTCCTCTCAGCGTACTAATTTTCTCTCAAACTCCTCGGCCGTTACAATTGTACGACTCTGAAATGCGCTTGCTTTAGTAATAATAAAATCCCCTAAAAGTGTTTTTTTTAAACAAAAGTAAAAGAACATTACTTAGGCTCATCTAACACATAAATAAAAATACAATCTTTTATATATATATATATATATATATATATATATATATATATATATATATATATATATATTGTTACTAGCTTGAGGTTCGTGACTATAAAAATGTCGATAGAATTACCTAAATTAACTCTTTAATTCACTTTACACTAATTAAAACTTAGAACACTAATAATTAATCACACTGATTCACTTTATTTCGCTCCGAAGCTTCGCTTGTCTCGCCAAATTCAATACTTCCCAGATCGCATCTTGCAGCGCCTTTAAATACACATTATCACCGTAACATCCAGAATATTCAAGTAAATACGCGCGCCAATCGACAAGGCGTCGAAAGTTCGAGTGTCGGGCTTCTAGAATCTTAGTTCTTCGTTTCGATACTAGATAGCGCTGTGGGTTGAAAGATTAGTGATGTCATTTTCTGGAAAGCTCCCCTCGCTCTCGTCCCCGACACTAGATGGCGCTAGTGCCGGGTACATAACGTCAACTTAGGCGCGCAACAATATGTATATTTAAAGCACTGTTGGTTATTTAAAATAAATAAATAAAAAAATCGTGCTGTACGGAATTACCTCGCCATTATAAATTAGTGTATCTAATAATGCTGTGTGACTAAGTTTACCTAGTCGAAGTGCGCTAATTAAGACTACTTATAGCTTGGTTTTTGCAGAGATTAACAGTGACCCCGTGGGTTATATATATATATATATATATATATATATATATATATATATATATATATATATATATATACATATTTAGATAAATACATACAAATTATAATAAATCCAATAATAGTTAAATAGTACCGTCCATAAAATATTTTGTTTATATAACTGAAAAACCTTTAATAGGCCTTACATTTAAGATGAGTGTACTTTAAGTCTTTAAATTTTTTAAAGCACTGTTGGTTTTTTAAAATAAATAAATAAAAAATTTGTGCTGTACGGAATTACCTCGCCATTATAAATTAGTGTATCTAATAATGCTGTGTGACTAAGTTTACCTAGTCGAAGTGCGCTAATTAAGACTACTTATAGCTTGGTTTTTGCCGAGATTAACAGTGACCCTGTGGGTTATTTCTCAATATATCTTGATGTAATTCATAAAAAAATTTTGTTTTACTTTTTTCAGGTGCATGACTAGTCTTCGGAATGGGTACGTGGTGTATTCAATATTTGAAATCTTCGACGGATTTAAATTATTGTTATTAGCACTTATGGTAATAACGGAATGCTTGTTTTTCTATTCAATCCAGTGGTGTGTAATAGACGTAGTCTGGGGTAACAAAGTTAATAAAAAACTCAAAACGTAATTGCATATTTTCGTGATTATCATCAATGAAATAAGTATAAATTTGAATTCCAAATTCAATATGTATGCAGATGATCGAAACGTTTATCGAACTGTGTAGAGTCTCGACGATGTTGTCGTTATACAAGAAGATTTCGATAAAATTTATAATAAGGATTAAACTCAGACACCCAGCTGTGTTATTTCATATATATACACACCGGCACAATTAGCGGAACGGAAAAAAAGTGAGACTATGAGATAATAACGCATATATTTGACGAAAATGTAATTAGACACAAAATAACAAATTGATTAACATCTTTTAACAAGGACTTTGAAAAGTCTTCGTTATTTTTTATTGAAAAATAAAGAAATTTGAAATAAGTGAAATTTTTAGATGATTATGAACCATCACAAAAAATAAAAAAAGTAAGCATTAAATGATTTAACAATAAAATTAAAGCAAAATTAATAACGAGTGTTTCCCCCTCTTGCTCTGATTACGGTTTCCATTCGTCTGGGCATGCTACAGATTATGTTATCGATGATTTCTTGAGGCAACCGCTCCCACTCCTCAAGTAATGCGTTTCCAAGTTCATTCAGATTTTTGGGGGGTGGCATTCTGGATTTAACCCTTCTTTTTAGCAAGTCCCAGACATGCTCTATCGGATTCATATCCTACCTACCTACGTGGCTCAGATATGCCGGTACCGATTGTGCACTATGAGCACGAGCATTATCTTGCATTAGAATAAAATCGTCACCAATAATAGGGCAAATGGTACAACATGTTCTTCTAAAATGTCTCTGATGTATCGATCTGCTGTCATGGTCCCTCCTGTGACTATCACTAACTCCGTGCGAGCTCCCAAACATATCCCTCCCCAAACCATAATCGAGCCGCCACCATAAGCCACTGTGTGTTCAAAATTGGACTGTATGTGGCGTTCTCCTTTGCGTCTCCATATTCGCTGTCTCCCATCGATCTGTTTTAAAAGAACTCCTCACAATAGAATTAGACGATCTGTACCGCTGGATGCTGCGATGAATCGTTGATACTGGTCGACGAAGCCTTGAGACAATCGATCTGTAGGTATGGCCATTTCTTCTCATTTCATCAGCCCTAATGATTTCCAGTGATGTTAAGTCAGGCATAATAAAGAGCTTTTAATAAACAAAATTGCCTATAGAATAACAAATTTATAAAAAACCATTAAGTGCAATTTTTCAAAAAAAATTACAATTACGTAGTTATTACTCGAACAAGTTGACAAAACGTATTGTTCGGGAAAATAAAACAAATGAATGAAAAAAGTGTATGTCATCTAATTTTCTATTTTCAAATTTGACAATAAATTAAAAAAATATCATAACTGGCCAGTTCCTCAAGTAAAAGATTTTAAAATCCTGCTTTTTTGTGTTCCGCTAATTGTGCCGGTGTGTATAGTTATCTTTTTGTATTTTATTGGTGACCAAGCTATAAAAGAAGTGTGATGTTTGCAAGATTTTGGAGTTTTTTAGATTGATTACATTATATATATAGCAAATATGGGCAAGCTCGACCAGGGAAAACAGTTTTCAGTGGAGTCTTCAGTTCCACTATACGAAACACAGCAGCATCAAGCTACTAGGTACTTTACGCTGATATTCTGTAAGGCCGTGGTTCTACCCCGGTCGAGCCGACCCATTCATGCCACAACCATAATATAGCTGCAGCGTGGCTCTACTACGTTGCAAAGTTGTATGTCACAATAGGTATGTCCACACTATGCACTAATATTTTCAACTTTCATCGTCGTCTTTCTATTCAACTTTCGTTTGGCGCATTCAATAATTGAATGCGTTAACAAACGCAACGACAACGTCATTTGAGGTTCTGACAGCTTGTTGAAACATGTGCGACGGGAACATTTTACTTGGTGGAATATGGGCTTACTTTGTAATAAGAAATTCCAAAAGAAAAAACCAAGTGAAATTTTTCGGAGTTAAAAAAGATAAAGTTTCCGCTCATATTTTTCCAATGCTGATGCATTCATTAAAAAAAAAAAAGAGTGGCGTTGGATCCAATGAGTTATATCAATCCCACTTTTTAACTCCATCGATGTCCATATTATATTTAAGTTACAGCCTATATACGTCCCACTGCGGGGCACAGGCCTCCCCTCATTTCTGAGAGGGTTTTAGGACGAAGAAGTGTCCGCCGTGCTGCCCCAATGCGTGTTGGTGACCTTCACATGTCTTCGAAAAATTTTTTTTCTTATTTCTCAGACATGCAGGTTTCCTCACGATGTTTTCCTTCACCGCCGAGCACGTGGTAAATCAGCACTTAAAATTGCAATTAACAATTTCATTGGTGCCGGCGGGGATCGAACCCGTTTTGCTCGCGTACTGGGAAATTTACAGCGAGCGCTAACCATTTGAGCTACCACGGCTCTCTTATATTATATTTAATAGCCAAAATTTGCAAACCCTCGTTGCTCTGGATTCCAAATATGTGGAAAGCTTCCGTAATCTCCAATAAATTTCATTGCAATTTATTTTACTTCGTCCATTATCATGTTGTTGAACACTTTGTGGCACAGAAATCTATCCGGCGCGGAAAGACGAGTATCACCGCGTGCGATACACTTTCTTTCATGCGCACTATTGACTGCGCTGTTACGCATGCCCTTGGCAAACAAAAAAGGGCATAATGTGGACATAGCTAATATCCATAATTTTTAATTCAGTTTTACAAAAATTTTCAAATTAATTACTTAAGTGCAGTCAAAAAGTTTAAGAGCCACTGTAGTGCTTGTTTATTTTTTATTGCTGTGTAAATTATATTTATTACTTTTTTCACTTACAAATAATCTCAGAAGGCATACGATTCTCAATATTGTTTTATTATATTGCCATTGCCTTTTATACGTAAACACTTAGTTTGTAGAACAGTTCTCGGAAAACATCATGTGTTTATCCAGTTACATAGTTCGAACTATATTGGATTTTTAATGGGTTCTTCAGCCTCCATGACAAATTGTACTAATTTTTTTTGTGACTGCACGTCCTCCAGAGTACCTTGTACTTTGCCCCATTACTAAGTTAATCATTGCTATAGCCACGTTTGTTGTTTAACTACATAAATAAATAATATTTTTGTCTTTGCTACCAACTTTTTTATTAGCCTTATCTAAAATAAAGCTGTCCAATCTGGTTCCCCTGAAGGCTGCTGCGTCTTGAAAAAAGCGTAACAGCTCACAGGCTAAGTGAACAATGAGCTTAATACGCGAGCAACCCGGGTTTGTTCCTCGAAGGCACCAAGGAAATTGTGAATTGGAATTATAAGTGTTGATTTATCACGTGCTCTGTGGCAAACGTTGAGAAAAGCTGCATGCCTGATGTATAAAATATATCGAGAACATGTGAGATCCGCCAACACTGATTACAGCAGCGTGGCAGACTAACTGCTCCATATCCCTCTTAGAAACGAGAAATTGTTTATTTGGCTATTTACTTGATTAATTTCTCGGCTATTTACTTAGTTATATGTTTTTTATTTAATTGACTGTTTATTTACTTATTTAGTTGATAATATACTATTCAGTTATTTACTTGATTTTTCACTACATTATTTCTCTGACTATGTACCTACATATTGGTGATGGATTGTTGGACAAATTAGCAATGCAGGGGAATACCCTTCAGACCGCAGGCAACAGTGCAAGTACTTCTATTCGGAGACAAAAATAGGTTGGATTGTGATAACTGCTCAGGCAGACTGCTATGCGAAAAAGAAGTCCTACCACTAGAAAATTTGTTTACGTGGTAAAGCCAGTTGCTGCAGTTATATTAGTAGTATAGTTGTAGCACGAATGGGTCGGCTTCATCGGGGCAGGACTACGCTCTCACAGAATACCAGCGTAAAATAGCAGCTGAATGCTGCTGTGTTTCGTATGGTGAGTGTAGAGAACCGGAGACCCTTTTTACTGCATACGAGGCATTCCATCTTAGTCCTCACGGGTGACAACGCATCTGCATTTTGATTCGTAATCGAGGATATATGTAGATGTCTATGGGCCAGCAACCACTTACCATCAGGTAGACTGTGTGCTCGTTTGTCATCCTATAATAAAAAAAAACTTCAAAATTATGTCATTGACTGAATGAAAATAAAAAAAGAGTAGAAAAGATGGAAATTATTAACATAATGTTTTTTACATCGCTACAATTCCTGTTAATTGCATCGCTACAAAGGGTCCCAAAGTAAGTGGCACACACAAAAACACAATAATTTACAATCAAATATATTTATTAGTCTCTTACAAAATATTATCACCATTAAAGACTTATACCAAATCTCATGGCACCATCAAACCTCATTATAATATACTTACAGTGTAAAAAACTAACTACAGTTAGAAATAAAAAGATATCTAAACACTTAAAATAAATAATATAGTTGAGCAGATATAATTAAATACACAAATGCGTGCTTACTATTCCATCCTTAGTATAATGAATGGTACTTTTCTATGTAAAACATAAGTTTTAACCCCTCAATCCTAATAAAAATCCCATGCAGCCGAATGCGCCCGGCAAATCCCGAGCGGTTGCATGCGACCGCACGCACCCGCAGCACTTAAAACCATTAAAACTTATATTTAGAAACTACTTTTCGATGAAGAAGCATTATAAAATCTATACAAAATTCTCTATCTATTGGTCTAAACAATAGTCAGGTTTTACTTCATTAGAAAAAGATTTTATTGTATTTTGATTTTGAAAAAAAAAACATACCAAGCGAATGTCGGCAGCGTAAAAATCACAATTATTTCAATATATATTACTCGAAATTATTTAGATAAAAAGATAAATTATATTCACACAAAAACTTTCATTACAATTTATAATAAAATACTATACTAAAACACTAATAAAAAACTAAATCCAAAAATCAACACAATAACATTCACGCAAAAATGACGTACGAAATGAACGTAGATTATAAATCAATATTCATAGGATAACTTAACTTTTTATTGCATTAGAGGATAGAAAATTTCATATTGATTCTATAATGCCATACTTCTTCATAAAACAGTTGTCTCTAAATATAAGTTTTAATGGTTTAAGGTGCTGTGGGTGTGCGCGGTCGAATCCGACCGCTTGAATTTTGACGGAATAGCGCCGCGATCGAATTCGACCGCTTGGAGACTAAAGGGTTAATATATTTTCTTTATTAAATAAATATTTAAAATTATGTAACGTAAGAAATGGTAACTTTAGTTATATTATTAATAATAATGGCTACGTCAATCCAACTAAAATCTCAAATTATTGCGCCTGCTACAATTAAACGTAATTATAAAGTAATATAAATCCTAAATACATTGTACGCCAATACTATGAACTTATAAATTATAAAACAATAAAGATACTTATTCGTTTTATTTAAGGCAAGAATTTTGTCACCAAAAAATCGTTCAATATTTATTTAAAACGCCTTTTTAAAGTATCACAGTAATTGGACCCTCATATAACAAATTTTGGCAGAAGCTTAAATTCTTTAAAAAACCTTTCCTATTTAAGTCGGTAAGTAATAATGGCTAATAAACTTCTTAAGACAACTTATGAAGCTATGAATCTATAACGGTTTTAAATGATAATTCACATTTATTCTAAATATTACAAAGGAAATTTTATACAACGAATCACTTTAAATAACGCCTTATCTTAAAATAGTATAGTGTAACGCTATCACGGTTATATACCGTTCTTCGGTCATAAATCTTTGGTGTGAAAATTATTTAAAAGAAATCTATTCTTTACAGGCTTGAATTGTTTTACTCTTGAGTAAAACAATTCAAGCAATAATATCTATAAGTACACGTTTTTTTATAGAATAAGTGCGACGAACGTCTATACACTGTCCCTGTCGACATTAATTTGGACTCTGTGGCCCATAGAGATATCCACTTATCCTCGATTAAGAGTCAAAATACAGATTGCGTTATCACCCCTAAGAATTAAGATGGAATGCATCGTTTTCAATAAAAGTGGTTTATATTTATCTAGTCATGGAAATTACATCATTATTATTTTGATTCTTATCGTATAGCTTTGAGCTTCCATTTAAGAAGTAAGAATGCAGCCACTCGCAGGACGACAACAAAGATGGTAAGGGCCAGCACGTCCCACCAGAACATGTCAGGAGACATGGCGATTATATTTAAAAACGTCTTTGGGTGTCTGGAATAAAAATGACAAAAACAAAATTATCAAATTAATTTAAATGAAAAGGAAAAAATAGAAAAAGAAAAAATTTGTAAACGTAAAATATAATATTATACAAGTAACAAATTAGTAACCATCATCATCAACATCATTAAAGGCATTCAAAGTCCACTGTTGAAAATAGACCTCTTCTACAGATTGCCTCATAGGGAGGAAATTTCCCATAGTTGCCACGCTTGGCAGATGGGGTTGCAAGAGCATTTTTTAAAGTATTTTTAGATGTTACTAGGCAGACTGCCGTCCACCTTCGGTTTTTCCGCAGTCGCCTCTTACGCGTCCCACGTTACGATATGGAGTAGTGGATATTCTTAACGCCACTACACGCTTGATGATTAATTAAGCGTACACGGTTCTTCGTTATCGTTGGTTTTATAAAAGTAGTCTTAAATTTGTTTTCTTATAAGAGTGGTGTAAATGTGGCCCTTATTGTAAGATATTATACTGTGATCCAAATTGAATTTCGGACATGGCGGCCGATCTCAGAGAAGCCTAACCAGCTGCGCAGAACAGGATTAACATAGACGACTGCGCAAGCAAAGCTGAACTCTCTAATCCCTCAGTCATAGTCCGATAGGACGGAAAAATGTAACACAACCGGAAACAGTTTTGGCGCAGGACCAACGACTTTAAGTCCATGTCGAGTGAAACACTGCCTACTAACTCGTGGCGGTTCCCGAGAATATCCAATAGACCCGGAATATGAATTCTGGGACGACTAGATCAACCTGAACAAAAATATAGTACGTGAATATAGCTTAGCAGACGGCAAAATAAATGGCACGTATAATTTAAAAAATGGCAATTCGATGAAGTATATGAGCTAAAATACACGAGTTGTCAGTTACTCAATATGATACCTTATGGAGACCGAACACGGTCAGTTCAACTGATCATTCCAACCGATCAGTTCAAATTAAAACTGTTGATATTTTTTTTAAATATTGAATTTTCAATCTATAGATAATTGTAAATATATCAATATCGGAGTTTTATATATAAGTTTATTTATCGATATACCGACAATCCAATATTTAAAAAAAATCAACAGTTTTGGTTTGAATTGATCAGTTAGAATGATCAGTTGAACTGACCGTGTGAGGCGACCATAAGACATAAGTTCTATTGTGGTTAATGATGATAACTAGGTAAATAATAATTAATAACACTTTCAGATCTAGTATGGTCCCGTGCGTCGGAAAGAACGTAAGCCATACTTCCTGCGCCTGATCTCTCTCCGCTCGTGTACAAAATATTTTGATATTTAGTGTTATTATTGGACAAATAAAAAACATTTATATATTTAATAGAAACTTGGTAAAAGCTTTAATCTTTACGCAGGTTAATCCGTCTCTGCACCGACATTGCTCATTTGATTAAACTCAGTATTTTCTGTTACTCAGATTATTTTATTTTATATAGTATGTGAAGGTAATTTGGTCATCCGGTAAACATGGTCACTTTCTTATTACGCAAAAACTACAGACTTTTGTGCATAGATGGCTGCGTGATATGATAGCTTTTCATCAGTCAATCAAATAATAAATGGTCAAACGGGCGATGCTATAACGACGTCAGTTTGACAGTTCTCATTATAGTAAATATTTTAGTCGATTTTAGTATGGTGTAGTGTAGTTAGTTTTTTAAGTTGATTATTCGAAGTGTTCCTAATTATTGCCGAAACTAGTTTACTATTATTTTCTTAATATATTAGTTATAGCATACGACTTTATGTTTTTGACTCCATCCTCTTCTTAGTTTTGGTTTTATAGGGCAGCAAAGCTTAAGATGACCATTTTACTCACACGCACCTTATACTACTAGAGGCCTGCCGCAACTTCGTACGGGTGATATCTGGGTTCTACAACTGGGTCCAACTATGCTTATTACCTTTGGGCTAGTGCAAGCAATAAGTTCACAAAGTTTTAGCCCAACCTGATGAACGGTATGATAGCGTATAAAATACGAACAATCAAATAATAATTTTTATATATTAGATTTTATTGACCGACATAGCCCAACGGATTAGAATGCTGAAGTGGCAATGGGCCGGCCATATAGCTCGAAAGAACCGACAACTGTTAGGGAAAAAAGGTTCTCGAGTGGTAGCCTCGTACCGGTAGGCGAAGTGTAGGGCGACCCCCCACTAGATGTAGTGACGACCTGGTAAGATTTGCAGGAAGTCGATCGATGCAGGTAGCTTACGACCGTGCTTTGTGGCATACCTTGGGGGAGGCCTATGTTCAGCAGTGGACTTGTGAAGGGCTGTAATAATGATGATGATGATGATGATGAGATTTCATTTATTTTGTTACTAGCGACCGCTTCGCAGAGTGATTTTTGGGACTTTGACAACAGCGCCACCTAACTGAATACAACAATAGTAAAGAACTGTCTAGGTGACTCCAAAAATAACTTATAAAAACTTAAAAACATAATACTTAAAAAATAAAAGCGGGCAAGCCGTTTAGGAGGATAAGGGAGCCCCCACATTTATCGACGCGGAATCGGCTTCAGCCGGTTAGGAAAACCTTTATCTCTATGAAATACGGGTGTTTAGAAACACCCGTATTTTCATCGGTTGCCATTCTCATCGGTTCGTCTCGGATAACGAGACGCGACGTCGGCTGAAGTTTGCCGATTTGCTGATCGCATCCATACGGAGCTAAAAGTAGTGAACGCCCACTTTGACATTTTTAAGTTGCCAACGGCAGACGAACGGTGCCGGAAACGGCCGAACGGCGTCGAAATGATCCGCTCGCATGATTTCATCTCCGACGGCTGCCGAACGGCGAAGTAGACGGCCGAACGCCGTTGGACATCAGTCGAACGATGAATGCTGAGTTTCCTGTCTGAATGTGAATAGCTGTCGCGATGATCGTTCGGAGAGTCGACTGCCAAACGAAAGAGAACAGCCGTTTTGGGGAATCAACTGCCGAATGCTAGTGAACAACCATCGCGACGGCCTTAGTGAAGGAGTCAACTACCGATCTTGTAACTAGCCGTCGCAATAGATCATCGGCGTTAAGCCGAGTAGTGTAATGATTCGCACTCGGCTTAAGCCGATTTCGCGTCTATAAATGTGGTGACTCCCTAATAATTACGAACACACGAATACCGGAATTTTATATCATATTATCTTACTTGTAATGGCAGTATACGGCCTGATCACAATCCAGCGTAGGCCGTTCGAGTCCGTAGATCGCTCCGATGAGCCCCTCGAGGCCATATCTTAAATAAGAGATATACGAGCCCCAATATAAATAGGGGGGTAGGTCCCGTAGTGTGACCCCGAAGCCCGCAAACATCATCATTGGCACAGAGATAGTTGGCCCGAGAAACGTTCCGTTCTAAACAAATAACAACAAAATTATTATTAAAAGCAAAGAACGATAATGATATAATCTGTTATTAACAATAATCATAAGACATATTTAATAGCAACTGATCAGTAAAAGCCTTGCCGCATACCGTGTAGTGGCGGTGTAAGAATATTCACTACCCCATATCATCCTGTGGGTGTCGTAAGAGGCGACAGAGAGAAACAAGTCAGGAGATAGGGAGGGAGGCAGTAGCGTCTTCCTAATAACGACCAAAAATAAAAAATACTGCGGTTGCCAACCTGCTTGCCAAGCGTGGTAACTATGGCAAAAATCTCTCTATGAGGCAATGGGGGAGGCCTATGTTCAGCAGTGGACTTTAATAGGCTGTAAATGGTAACGGATCAGTAACCTGAAGTGGTAATGGGTCGGCCATAAAGTTCAAACAACTGACAAGCGATGGGACAGAAAGGTTAATATTGACAAACGCAGTGTTGGGTCAAACCCCCCCCCCACTATATGGAGGGAAAACCTGATGAAACATGCAGGCAGTTGATGGATGCAGGTTCCTCAGGACCATACTTTGTGGCAATATATGGGGAAAGCCAATATACGTGACCGCTGGAGGGCATGTCGAGCAGTGGTCATGTGACGGGCTGCAGTATTAGGAGTATCTATACACATATAATAAATCTGTAGAAAACCTCCCCCATTATATAGAGATATAACGAAAACGATGGCTATCACGCTTAGTAGGCGGGTAGGCAACCGCACTTTGTTATTACTTTGAGCTGTAAATTTAAAAAAAAAACTAAAAATTAAAAAAAAACACGTTTGTATAGTTATATTAAAGATATCATTACTTTTATTGAATTGCTTTTTAGAAACTCGACATTTAGTAAAATGAAGATTTAATATAACAAAGCTATAAAGTATTTTGTTTTTGGTCACATTGATGGTAAGTACGTTATCAACCACCCATTTGTTAACAATGTTAAATCCTTTTTGCGTAAGTTCAAAGACTTCTTTCCATGAGTCTCCATTATAAACGAGAGCTGTATCATCAGAAAAGGTAACTATTTTACCTCAAGGTCGGAGGTATTTTACCTCAAGGTACCATCGGGTCTTACACAGGTCATTAATAAAAATGAGAAACAGCTTTGGACTTAAAATGTTTCCCTGAGGCACACCATAAGTAAATGAGAGCTCTGAGAAACTGAAACTGAAATTGAGTAACTTAGAAAACCTACACGCTTTACTTTCTGATGATGGTTTGTAAGATAGCTCGCAAATAGATTTAACGCTACGCCTTCTACACCTACTCCTTCGATTTGATTTAACGAACCAGAAACAGAAACTACGTTAAATGCCTTGACTAAATCAAGAACGATTGCTACGTTATTTTTGCCATCATCGAGACCAGAGATTATAGTAATTGTTAACTCAAGAACGGCATCCTCAGTTGACCTTCCGGCTCGGAATTCGAATTGATTAAGAGATATTACATTCATTGAACTAAAGGAAATAAGTCTCTTGTGTAGGATTTTCTCATAAACATAAAGTAGGTTATATTTATATAAGTCTGTAGTTGTTAACACAGTCAGTATCACCTCTTTTGTGGTTTGTTTTAATAAGCGAGATCTTAAAAAGTCTAGGAAAGGTGTCAGTTTAGAGGGCAGTATTATAAATGTTGGTTATTGGCGGTGTCAACAAATCACTAAATTGCTTTAATAGCCCATCTAGAATTAAGTCAATTCCTACAGCACAATTTATGGGATGCCGATCTGTCATGTGCCGCCACTGCGCGAAACAGCGCTGCGCGTACGGCTGCCGTTATTTTCGTTGACTGATTTTAATCTATATTAGATTATTAATAATTTATAAATAGTTCATTACCTGTGTCCGTTTGTGTCTGTTCCGAAGCTTTCTCAGAAATAACGTGAGGCAAGTTTGCACGGCGTGGGACATATATATAGTACTTTACTTTTTACTGCTGTACATGTTGAAGGTCTGAAAGATATAGCTTTCCTTTTGGACGGCTTTCATGAACCTCCTGGGATTATTCTCGTATATTCGGCTACACACTAGCTGTTCTACACAGCTAGCCGTATTCAAAATTGGTTATGAAATATTTAAACTTACAACGACGTTGAAGACGGCACCGATCATGAGACCGAGGCTCTGTGCAACGAGCACCGTGTACAGCGAGATCGCAAAGAACATGAGGAAGCGGACGATCTCAAGTGGTTGCGAAGACATGGTGTACACTATCACACTGAACACCGCGCACGAGACTATCTGAAGAGAGAAAATTGAAGCTAAATTTTAAGGCATATAACGGTAAAAATGTCCAATTCATTTCCGACTAAGCCGTTGTAGCTTAGGGGCTTAGTAGTTAGCTTGCTGTTAATTTGAGCTAAGCAGTCAGAGGCGAGGGTCCAGACTGCCCCACTCAGACAGCGGTTAGATATCTCAATAACCACCACAGAGGCGACATGATGATTGGTAACAATACCAAATCATAAACCATTATCATCATCATCCTCTTCACCATTGCCATTGCCACGACAATTGTAGACGAAGCTGTAAGAGCCGTATAGGCTAACAGCACCAACATTCACCACCACAGAAAATTGAGATGTAAGTTTTATAGAAAGCGAGTAGCCCGGGTTTGATACCCGTCGGCACCAATGAAATTGTTAATTGCAATTTTAAGTGCTGATTTCCCATGTGCGGTGGCGGAAAACATCATGAGGAAACCTGCACTACATTTTATATGGAGGATTGTATACAGCTATCTTTACATACATGAATTCGAAAAATTTTATACCTTTTAGTACCACGCTGCAGCTATACTATGGATGTAGCGCGAAAAGCTCGGCTCGACCGGGGAAGGACCACGCTCTCACAGAATACCAGCGTAAAATAGTAGCTTAATGCCGCTATGTTTCGTATGGTGAGAGTGGAGAACTGGAGACCCTTTTTACTGGAAACGAGGCATTCCATCTTAGTCCTCACGGGTGACAACGCATCTGCATTTTGATTCGTAATCGAGGATAGATGTAGATGTCTATGGGCCACAGCAACCATTTACCATCAGGTGGACTGTGTGCTCGTTTCTCACCCTATCCTATAAAAAAGACGCCTCGCAGATTTAGCTCTGCTCAACGTTGCTGGTCTGGATAATATGCGTCTAGTATAAACTGGCTATTCTGCCATTTCTTATTATTTTTCTGCCATCGGCTTTCTACATTTCCCATACGATACACTGCGGTGGTGGATATTCTTAAGCTGCCACCGTACAGCAAATTGCTGGTGAAGTGCTTTTTATTCTTCTTTTTATAAGCCAGTGCTTGACCACAATCCCATCTGGTGGTAAGTGGTGATGCAGCCAGCAGCAGGTGGTAAATCGCACTGTCTTAGCGTAACAAAGCCTATTCACTCTTGCCATGAAAACCCCCAGATTGTATTCGGACGGAAAGATAGACGCTGCCAAATCCTTTGCTGTACGGCTTAAAAAAGTCGAAGTAAGCCGTTTGGTTCTAATGCGTGGAATATCGACAACAAAGGATTGAAGACCCGCCGACCACCTGGTCGTCCGATGGTGGAAGGGAGAGGGAGGAATTAAAGCATGCAATTCCTGCGCACACTATTCTTCACTATTATTTCGTGTCCTTTTCGTTTTATAAAATGCTATTCTCACACCGAATCTACTCCATTAATCAGTACAGTACAATTAAAAATACTTTACTAACTGACGGAGAAGATTATTACAATCAAAGAATGGAGATATATCAATTGAAAACGTCAAATTAAATTACCAAAGACCAGTTATAGGACTCTGCACTTATTAATCCCGCTTGTTAAGCGTAGAAAGTATGGGAAAACCTTTCATTTAATATGTACCAGTAAACGTATGATACAAACGCCAATATTCAGTAGTAAATTTACAAGTGGTACAATTAAAAATACAGTCACAACCTACAGTTGTACAACCGATTTTAATATAAATAAAATACGAACATCATCAATGTAGTCAAAGTCAATTACATACGTGTTATTAAGTATAACTCAAAAACTACTACCATCTTGATCAAATTTATATGGGACCACATTATAATCATAAAATCGCTTCACTTAGAAAAAACTTCTGAGGAAACACATAAAAGAAAACATCCAGTGGAATTGAGTACCTTCTCCTTTTTTGAAGTCAGTTAAAAATTGTTTATGTAATCGGCCATAATAATGCCGATGTTTATTTTTAGAACGCGTATTTTATTTATTTTATTTAAACTAAACGAAACGGACCAATTTCAGTCAGTCCGCTTCACCGGAGACTATCCATCCGTCCAGGACAGGATTATAGGGTCCGAGTATATGCTGAACACAGGTACACTCTCTACTCTCTTACCCACATACTCCGATTGGACGGTAAACTTTTACGTGCTTTCCGAGGCACGGGGGTGAAGCACCATTGTTTTCTCATCTCCGGGTCTACTGAGAAAGCAAAACTCAATGGCCTGACTTGGGACCTTGTATGTTGTATTGAGCCGTGATAGTTCAGATGGTTAGCGCTAGCTGTAAATTTCACAATACGCGAGCAAACCGGGTTCGATCCCCGCCGGCACCAATGAAATTGTTAATTGCAATTTTAAGTGCTGATTTACCACGTGCTTGGCGGTGAAGGAAAACATCGTGAGGAAACCTGCATGTCTGAGAAATAAGAAAAAAAATATTTCGAAGACATGTGAAGTTCGCTAAAACGCATTGGGGCAGCGCGGCGGACTATTCCTTGCTCACACACATGCCATCTGAGAGTAAGTGGATACTGTGGCCCATAGAAATCTACATATATACTTTGATAAGAATCAAAATGCAGATGCGTTGTCATCACTGAGGACTAAGATGGAATGCCTCATTTTCAGTAAAATGGGTCTCTAGTTCTCTACACTCGCCATACGAAACACAGCAGCATTGAGCTGCTATATTACGTTGGTAGTCTGTGAGAGCTTGGTCCTACCCCGATCGAGTTGACCCATTCTTGCTACCAAGTAAAAATTATACAATACATATTTAATATTTTTATTACATAATCTAATTATAAAATCGGTTACAACTTACAGAGATCGGCAAGTCCACTAGCGTAATAGAAATATAATAAGACCCCAGCGAGTACCAGCGGTTGAAGTGCTCCTTTATTAATATCGACATCTCGGAAGGGACTGAAAATGAAGCATAATATTCTTATATTAAAAATACATTTAAAGTAATTTAACAAATATTCCCTACAATTGGAAAAGAAGAACTATCAAATTTATTTATTTAACAAGGCTTATTTAATATATACTATTTATACAGGCTGTTAGTGTAAACACCGTTATCCTTGAAATCAGTGGTTTTGTTTTACTTATAGAACGTAAATTCAATGAAAAATAACAACATTTTGTTTAGTAAATCTCAATTTTTCCATAATTTCTCAATTTTTGCCTGTCCTAAGCCAGGATGAAAGTTTGAAGGAAAAGTTACATCACAGGTTATGTGTACCTATTGTGTTTTTTGTTGGAATGTTGTGTAGGTACGAGGGTGGATTGAAAAGTACTCGGCCTAACACAGATCCATTCAATTCTAAAAATCAAATCTACCCAAATTATTTAGTTCAGTTCAGACTAGTTCATTGTGTGAAGTTCGAAACGTGTGCGATAATTAGTTGTGATTTTATAAATTTATTAACAAAGTAATCGGACATAATTTCCGCGAATGGAGCGAATCGAGCAGCGTGCCGTCATTAAGTACCTCCATAAGAAGGGGCTATCGTCAAAAGCCATCCATGATGACATGGTCAGTACATTAGGCGATTGTGCTCTGTCATATTCATCCGTCAAAAAATGGATAGCAGAATTTAAGCGTGGTAGAGGGAGTGTGAAAGATGAACCCCGCTCTGGAAGCCTTCGACGTCAACTACTGACGAAAATATTAAAAAAGTACTTGATTTAATAATGGGAGACCGCAGATTAAAAATTAGAGAGATAGCCGAGATTATAGGCATCTCTTATGAATGAACTCAAAACATCATTGTCCACGAGTTGAGTTTCCACAAGGTGTCTGCGAGGTGGGTTCCGCGACTGCTTTCAGTTGAACAAAAAAGGACGCGATTGACTATTTCACGTGACTGTTTGGAGTTATTTGAAGCCGATGCAGATGATTTTTTGAATCGTTTTGTTACTATGGAAGAAACATGGGTTCATTACTGTACACCGGAAACAAAACAACAATCAAAACAGTGGAGAAGACCTGGTTCACCACCCCCTAAAAAGGCTAAGGCGATTTTGTCGGCAAATAAGGTGATGGCTTCAGTATTCTGGGACTCGAAAGGTGTGATTATGATTGATTATCTTGAAAGGGGTCAAACTATAAACTCTGATTACTACTGCACCTTACTACGTCGTTTACGAGAGGAAATAAAAGAAAAACGTCGAGGAATGCTCAGAAGAAAAGTCCTGTTTCATCAAGATAACGCCCGTGTTCACACGTCAGTACAGTCAATGGCTGAAATTCAAAACTGTGGCTTTGAACTGTTACCGCATCCGCCGTATTCACCTGATCTGGCACCATCAGATTTCTTTCTGTTCCCTAACCTAAACAAGCACTTGGGAGGTCAAAGATTTTCGACAAACGACGAGGTCAAAGCAGCTGTAGACGCATATTTTGACTCTAAGGAAGAATCATTTTTTTTCAACGGTCTAAATGCTTGGAAGGGGAGGTGGCAAAAGTGTATTGAACTTGATGGTGATTATGTAGAAAAATAAAAATATAACTGATTTAGTATGTGTTTATTTTCTTGGTTAGGCCGAGTACTTTTCAATCCACCCTCGTAGCTAGGGCAGGCGGTGATCTTTACAGTGATTACGTCACTCGGGCGCATAGGGTATCCATGAATTTACGGTCGGTTATCGGTTATTATAGCGTTGTCTTTTTAAATTCATTTTATTTACGTTCTATAAGTGAAACCAAACCACTGGTTTCAAGGATAACGGTGTTTACACTAACAGCCTGTACAAGGCTTAAATTAAACATTCTTTTGTAGAATCAGGGTGACAAACAAGCATACAATCCACCAAAAAGTGGATTCTGTGGCTCATAGACATCTTAATTAAGAATCTAAATGCAAATGCGTTGCCACTGAGGACTAAAATGGAATGCCTCGTATCCAGTAAAAAGGGTCTCCGGTTCTCTACACTCATCATACGAACCACAGCAGCATTACGCTGCTATTTTGCGCTGGTATTTTGTGAGAGCGTGCTCCTACCCCGGTCGAGCCTGTCCATTCGTGTTGCAACCACAATATAGATGCAGCATGGCACTACGACATAAAAAATTAGGACAAATACTTCTTGTATCCGCAAATTATAGATGTAACTGAATAATATCAATTGCTTGCCCCAGAAGGTGGATCACATTTTTCGAAAGTATGTATAAATATATGAATTTATGTATGTATGAATGTATTTTTTTGGTTGAATTAAAAACTCTACTGGCCATATATAACTCGCGGTACGTAACTCTAGCGCTGAATGAAACGTGGAGGCATAGCTGCGAATGATGTATCTGTACGGGGGGCAGAATAATATTGGAAAGCCTATTATTGCTGTGATTATGGTTAGCGCTTGCTAACCATAATCACAGCTAATTGTACGCAATAATGCGCAATACGGTCAATTATGCGCAATAACGGTCACCGCTAGTCTTCGGTGCCGAGAGTTGTACTCAAACTTTACTCAATTTTAAGATGTCGTTAAGTATCGTAGTGTCCCAGTCAGTTTGGCGTAAAGTGATAGAGACAGCACAAGGCTTAACGGAATCCTAAAATTGAGTAGCGTTTGAGTATTTGGGCATAAGTAAGCTTAAGAATGCTAGTGTTAAGAGTGTTACACCACAGTAGTCGAATGACGGATTCATGCCATCGACTTTTATTATTCACAACAATTGATTTCATCGGCAATAGTAATTGGACTGTGTTGTACAGAAATGATTCAACCCCATCAACTTCAATTCAGAATCCAGCCCCAATTTGGTATCCAAATATGAAAACCTTCTGAAAAATAACAAGTAATTCCAAAATTTTACACGTGGTAGAGCTATGCTGCAATTGTATTAGTAGTATAGTTGTAGCACAAATGGGTCTCCTCGACCGGGTTAGGACCACGCTCTCACAGAATACCAGCGTAAAATAATAGCTTAATGCTGCTGTGCTTCGAATGGTGAGTGTAGAGAACCGGAGACCCTTTAAATTTTGTTTAAAATGATATACATAACATGATATAAATAGGGCACTTGTCACAAGATAAATGCATTTATCTTTTAAATCTAAATAATTATATGTTTTTGTGGGCTCAAGCATTTTTACACGGTACTGTCTAATTAGTAGGGCTACTATAATTACATGTTTCATGCGGGAAATGAACCCTACGGCATAGTAAAAACAGAATAGTAGGATACTCAGATTTAATGTCAGATTTAATGTTTAAAATTAATTTGATCTAATGTGGTATCATAATTAATGCACTTATGAGTTATGTATCTACGTATAGATATAGTAATATAAACTAATAATAAAAAGGTAATTTACTTAAACAAACGCATATATTAATTTATTTTACAAAGAGAGAAAGTAAAATGAAAAAAGACTGCTAGCAAAATTTTAGACATTTAGACAAAGTCTCAAACTTAGGTGATTGCGGAGCGCGGCGATGGCCGTCTCTAACTCGGCCAGACCTTTCAGACTTGGCGAGTGTCGTTGTGCGCATGCTGTGTCTCGTGCGTACGATTCCGTACTGTCACGTACCAGGCACACACACATATTAGCGGTGTTCGGTACATTTATTAGAAGATAGCCTACTATTCAGTTTTTACTATGTCTACTGTCGCCGGTTATCATCATTTAGGAACGGGCAAGTGACAGAAATATATGGATATATATCGTATCGATATTTTTAAACAATTTCGATATATATCGCACGATAAATATCGATATATTTATAGATCGTCATTTATTGCATTACGTAGTACAATAAGGCCCAACATTTTATTACTGGATGGTTGGAAGACGAACAAAAAAACAGCATATGAATGCTTTTGTTGATTAATGTATTGTCGATTGAAACACAATTTTAAAATATATCTAAATTAATACGAATTCGATACTCTAAAAGAAATATCGAATATCTATATTTATTTTAGAGTATTGCAAAAGTATTGAAAAATATCATTATGTCGCTATTTCTACTAGGGTACTGTCCATTGGATCCATTTGTGCTACAGTCATAATTTGCGACAGCCTGACTCTTCTACGTTAAAAGATCCAGCAATAAATTTAAAAGAAAATTAAGAAAGAAAGTGGTAGTTCTATATTGACTCACATGTAAGAATGGTGAGCATCATTGGCGACATCATGTGATGCATGAGTATAGCGAACAGCAGATTGTAGTTTTCTATAACCCTATTACCCTCGTTGCCAGCCTTGACGAACAGACTGCCCAGCATGATACCCACTATGACGTTCACCAACAGCCTCAGGTGCGTTAACATCTGAAAATAAATCAGGCTTGAAATTGTGTGCGCCGGCATCGCACGTGAACGTGTCGCAAAATCTCATTAAATTAGTGAAATCACTATGTCGGACGAATATTTTTACGGTGTAACCCTTTCGTCATCACATCAGTCAGAGACATGGGACTCGGAAGCAAAGGCAGAATACCCGCGCAGTAATAAGTTATTAATCCGTCAAGCATTACTTGGACCGGATGCCAAACCTGATGAACTTAATGTCGTACAGGTGGTGACCCCCCGACGTGATCTGAACACGCAACCAACAACCTTCGGAAATTTCAAGCTTCATCATCGTCATATAATACCCCACCTATTCGCTCCCGAGAAGATATCGTCTGCAGTTTTCATATCCTGCAAGCCATCTAGCTTCACAAGGTTCATCGCAGCACTGGAATAATAATGCTTCCTGTTCCTTCAAGCTACTCTCTGCGCTATACAGTGTTCGGCACGGCTCTGAGTCTTACTGCTCGCCTCTGCTTCACGGCACTCTCGCAGATTACTTGCCTTCTTCTCGACTCACCGCAGACTACAAGGCAATCTCCTGGCACTTGCACATTCGTCGGCAACGAGGCTGCACTATCGACCTCCGGTCCGAGCAGGGGGGTGATGTAGCGGCGCTGTCGTCGCGCCACAACCGAAACACACCGAAACCTAAATCGCGCTATCAAAATTCCGAATCACACACAGTATATATAGAAAATCTCCGAACTATCACACGGAGTGTTAGCCGCTCCCCGGGCGGAACACCTTCCCCGGCGGGAGATTTCCCCTTTTCCTTCCACGGTCACAAAATCAAATGTGATTATAACCGTCGGCTTCGTGGCGCAGTGGTTCAGCAATGCATTGCGGTGCTAAAAAGGAAGCGGGATCTAATCCCGCACGGATATACTATTTTTACAGAATACAAATAATTGGTTCCGGGTCTGGATATTTTTCTGTGTGCACTTTTTGTATTTCAGCGCTCTTTACGATATGGGAGAAAATCCTAATGCAGGGTTGATTTTCTTTAAAAAGAAAAAAGTATAACATAATTTTAATTTTAAATTAAAGTATAACACAAAACATTTTCTTTATTTTGTGACTTTTTTAATTAAAAAATAAAATAAATTAAAAGGTTTTTTCATCATAATCCTCAGATATGACATTGAAAACCTACTTAGATTCTTAATAGAGGATAGATGTAGATATCTGTGGAATAAAGTATACTTAAGCGTCTACGCGCGACGCAAAACGGCAATGAGTTGGCTTGACGTATGTAATTATTGACATACATCATCAAGCCTATGGAGCTGCGTTTTGTTTGGGCACCCCCATTTGTTTTTTTTTTTTTTTTTTTTTTTTTTTTTATTTTCTTAATCATGTTTTTTTTTTTTTTATTGTTCCTGGTTAAACATCGTTTCCTGGACTTTGTAATTCTTGTTGTCGTTTTGCGTCCTGCGTCGTTCATAACCTTGATACAGTACGATGTACAGTGTATAAGACGCTTTACAATCGGGTAGACTTTGACACGTTTGTCACTCTTCCTTTTATGAAAACGTTCCATATTTGGAAGAAGAAGAGACTGCTCTAGTTTTCTATGCTGTTTAAGTGTTTTTAAAAGTCCTGAAAAATATAACTATTTTATAACTACAACATTGAATGCCTCGTTAGTCTAGTGCTCGTGAGCGCGACTGCTAATAATGAGCTTTCGAGTTCGAATTTCTTATATTTACGCGAACACTACACATTGAAATAATACTAATTTTTACGGAATTTATCGCGTATATTTAACTTTTTTTTACCCGACGTTTCGAGAGCTTTACAGCACCCATGGTCACGGGAAGGACTGAGATGTTCAACGTCCAGCTGTCATAGTTAACCGCGGTTACCATAGATTAAAATTTAACTTTTGTTCCGATCTACACAGTATGAACTTATGGTATCATGGAGTCTTGCAGTTGTATGCTTGGGTTGGGATTTAATTTTATTTATTATAGGATCCCAAGCAGATGGTAGCACCCAGCCATCTTCTCTATTGAAATTAGGATGTTTTTTGATTTCAATAGCCTCGCGAATCATCCTTGGAAGGAATCGGTGTTCTTTAGCGAGGATTTGTGGTCTATCAAATCTGATGTAGTGACGGGGGCGATCCTGTACATGTTCACAGGGAAGTCTGCAGTCTGTGATAAATTCCGTAAAAATTAGTATTATTTCGAGTTCGAAGTCGGAAAATCAGTTATCGGATTATTATTACAAGAAGTTCTCAGTTTACATACATAAATTGCACAATTGAGAAATATCCAGACCCGGAACAATTACTTCTTGTAGGGCATAGGTACAAATAATTGTTTCATATGGGATTCGTAAACCCGCGGCCTCCAGTTATGCAACTCAATGCTAAACTACTGCGTCACGGGCCCGCTAAATTATCATATTTCATTAAAAAAAAGAAAATATAACCAACAAATAAATATAAAAGTTTATTTGAACATTGAAAGCACTTGTTAAAATCGCATCACTTTTACGTATCAAAATCCACTTCAAACCATTATTTAAACGATAAAAGAGGAGCAACAATACGTCGACGGTCAAGTTTCCGCCAAAACTCTAACTTATCTATTTGAGAAAGAAACACAGAGTATATTATCCTTTAATCACTACGTTTGATATTCTATGGTCAAATTAAGCTTCTTGAGTATGGAGCGTAGAAGTAAGGAGTACAGACTGTGTATTACAAAGTGTCCATAGAAAACCGTTTAGGGTGGCGCAGTAGCTCGGGCTAAATTTTAAAGAACGCACCGAAAAATGTTAGTGGGATGACGTTTTTTCAAGGTTATATTTGCTAAATAAAATTATTTTAGATTTGAGAGCTACTGAGCAGTTAGCAGCACACTTCAAAGTGCTAAGTTCATTTCATCCCAGTAGCTACTCCAGCGCTGTTGTGGAGAGTTTTTGAACTGTTATTTACTGCTTACAGATGGCCACTTTTTCAACTATTCTACTATGGGAGTTGGTACTCCTTACTTCTACACTCCATATTCTTGAGTCAAATGCGTAAGCATCATATTAGTCTGTGAGTATTTGATAAAAAAATCTTTAAAATGTGTTCATTCTTTTCCGAGAAATTGGTTAAAATTAATATACACATATACGCGTCTAATAAAGAACCTTCCCGTTTTTTTTTGAACTTGATTAAAAAATCTATGTTTTCAAAGTTTTGTTACTTACGGCGTCGCGTTTAGCTTTCAAGAACCCTCTTTTTATGAGCACCATTCTCTGGTTGGACTGCGAAGTTTCTTCTTCCCCAGGCCCCGTGTCCTGTTCCTTGAGCACGCTTAACGGATACTGTTTTCTTAAACCCTCCATTGTGGGAATGGTATCTGGATTATCGAACCAGCTGAGATCCTTGCCGTTTTCTGCTCTAGTGGTCAAGTATCCGATCTTGTCTTCACCATATTCCCCACAAGCCAATTCGATTACTGAAAAAATTAAGTGTATTTTTATATAACAGTGTAATGGTACAGACAGCGTTATATATTATACTCTGTAAGAAATCTTGATTATTTTTGAAATATGTTAATATGAAGTAGGCACCTCTTTAATTTTCTGTAATTATTGTATGAGATTATTGTTTTTGACATTTAAATAGTTTTTGTTGTAAACAATTGGTTCGAAAATCGTATTATTTTATTGTACTAAAAAGTTCATTTGATTAAATTATAATTTTACTTAATTTTACAACTGTTTCTCTAGTTAGCCCGACTAATCTTGAGAATGGCTGAACCGATTGAAATCAGATAGAGAACAATATCAGTAGTCTATGTTTTATCCGAAATACTTTGAGATTTATTGCTCAAGAAATCGATTTTTTTTTAAATAACATGGTCCCATTCCATCCAAACGAAGCCAAGGGTAGTCCGCTAGCCATCTATAAAACTGGATCAATGTCTTCGATCAACAATGTTGATCGATGATCAATGTAAACTTTATTTTAGATAACAGGCCCCAGAGTAGTTTCCTATCGTATCAAATTTGTATCGTTATGTTCATTGTATTTTCATACATTTTAGTAGATGGCGATATGAAAACATTAGTACCAAAAACTTGTGCTAACAGCACAGGAAATTCGATCGGCGTCGGTACCATTGAAGTTGTTAATTTCAGCTTTAAATGTTGATTTACTTCTTGCTCGCGGGAAAACATCGCGAGGCGATTTTCTGAGACAAAAATACATACAGAATATATTTGGGAATCCAACTACCTAGTGTGTACGAAAAATTGATCTATTTTTATTAATGACCAAACAAATCAGTTCTAATAGTTTTTTTTATAGGATAAGGATAACAAACGAGCACACAGTCCACCTGATGGTAAGTGAATGCCGTGGCCCATAGACATCTACATTTAACCTCGATTTAGAATCAAAATGCAGATGCGTTGTCACCCTTGAGGAGTAAGATGGAATGCCTCGATTCCAGTAAAACGGTTCTCCGATTATCTACACTCACCATACGAAGCACAGCAGCATTAAGCTGCTATTTTACGCTGGTATTCTGTGAGAGCGCGGTCCTTCCCCGACCGAGTCGACCCGTTTATGCTACAATAATATAGCTGCAGCGTGGCTCTACCACTTATATTATGACAAATAAACAAAATAACCACACTACTAACTTTGCCAACATTTTATTCATATAACTTAAATTAAAAATAGAAAGTAGTGGAGCGTAAACGCAAGCAGAAATTCAAAAACTAAGGCTACGGTCTCTTATTAAATGCTATACGCGACGTCCGACTTCAGCGTAAACGTTCCGATCGGCGTCTGAACGCCAGGCACAGCGTCAGCGGTCAATACATGTCTTAGCAATGGACGACGTCTAGACTATCGATCAAACAACAGTTAAGTAGCTGACAGTGCCCACGTGTGGTTGTGTGATATTTGTACATAAAATGGATATAAATTCAATACACTTCGCGGTGCTTGTGCTGCGCCCTCCTTTCTGCCAAGGAGGGTCGCGTTCGTATACGGCTTAGAGATCTCTAGTCAGATCGTTAAGCCAATTCCTAAAAGGTTGAGTTTAGTGGGTAAGAGTCACCACATAACCACGCAGCCGGCTGCATGGTATGCTATGATCATTCTCAACCTCCCTCCCCGCTTTCCGGAGGGTTGCCCATATTTGCTTCGGGCGCAAAAAAAAAAGGTGCTTGTGTTACTTGAAGAAGAGACACAAGACGACGTATACGAAGAAAAATAAAGGCAACAAGGCACCGATTATTTATGAAGAGAAATGAAGAAGGATGTTTCCAGCTATTATAATGAAACACTTAAAAAAACAGCAATTCTAAATTTACTGAATATTTTCTTATTAATCAAGAACAATTTAAACATAATAATAAATCAATAACTCGTCTTTTTCTTTATAAAATTTTGTCATTTTGTACTGACGCTAGACACGACCTTTACGCTGCAATGGTTCGAAATAACTAGAGACGCAGCGCAAAGCGTCTTAACGCCGCCTACAACGTCCATACGCCGACATCAGCTTGTGAAAGAGACCACAACATAAAGACTTCAACCATAACATTAATATGAAAAATATGGCGCCAAATTCGATACTAACAACGTTTAGGGTTGTCATGTGTTGCTTAAATGTACAACGTTCTTGGAACTGCTATGAAGCTTGGCAGATTTTAACTCTTTTATCGACAAAGCCTACAACCCTGAATGTTGTTTGTTGATTAATAACTCCAGCTCTAGCTTGGTTTTAGCCCCAAGTATTACCACTATGGTGAGCGACCGACTCTGTACTGTATCATCTTCATGAGTCTATAATATGGACTATTACTGGAAATTGACTTCACCCGTTGTTAGAAGATTTACCTTAGTAGTCAAGCTCATGGTGGAATGACAATCGTATTACCAGATCTTTTAGTTATCACAAAACTGACTACAAGTATATTAAAAAAGTTTTATGTAGTTAAAAAAGATAATTAAAGTAACATGTAGGTAATTTACGGATTATTTCAAAGGTGACTGCCTCGTTGGTCTAGTGGTTGTAGTAGTGCGACTGCTAATCATGAAGTCCTGGGTTCAAATCCCGGGTCAGGCCAAAAGAAACTAATTAATGAGTTTTCCGTCAAGAAATTCGCAGTAGTTGCCCGGAGTCAGGAAGTTGGCGGTGTCTCACACCCGTGCCTCGGAAAGCACGTAAAGCCGTTGGTCCTGCGCCTGATCTCTCTCCCGGTCGTGTCGGTTTACCGTCCCACCGGATTACGAGAGTGAGGGAATAGAGAGTGCACCTGTGCTTGCGCATACACTTGGGCACCATGATCCTGTCCTGCGCCGATGGCTAGCCTCCGTTGAGGTATGCCGCCGTGGCCGAAATTCGGTCTGGAGGACATTATTATTATTACTATTTCAAAGGTTTTATTATGATATTTTTTTTCGTAGATAACTTCGAACTCATGACTTTTATATTCAAATGGTCAAAAATAAAAAGTGTAAACACTGGCGGTAGTACTAGGCGTTGCCAAGTCACAGAAACAGGGGTCGGGTCATTGACGACAACGATTATTTCACTATCGCATGTATGTGTACATCGTACACATGCCATTATTCTATTTACTCGATAAACTAGTTTTAAGAAGTGTATTCAAATACGGACAGGAGATAAAAATGTTCTCTTTATTGATTTGACGATATAGTTTTAATGAGGAAGCTAAGGACCCAAACATTTATACTTATATATTATACTTTTTGAATTTAGATGCTACATTTATCGATTTAGGTTATCCCTGTAATGGTAGATGTTAGTAGGAAATATAAATAAATAAATAAATATTAATTCTAAGATCAGAATAAAATAAATGAGTAGTAATTAAATGTTATGTCTTAATAAAATTTGGTTAGCCATAAAAACCAGCACTTAAATCATTTGGTAAGCATTCAAAGATTCTGTTTGCAATTTTAAAAAAATTGGCAATTTTTATTTGGTAAATAATCTTGATAATGTTCATTAATAATAATGTCCTCCAGACTGAATTTCAGCCACGGCAGCCTGACTCAACGGAGGCTAGCCATCGGTGCAGAACAGGATTATAGTGCCCAACTGTATGCGTAAGCACAGGTGCACTCTCTATTCCCTCACTCTCATAATCCGATAGGACGGAAAACCGACACGACCGGAGAGAGATCAGGCGCAGGACCAACGGATTTACGCGATATCCGAGGCACGGGGGCGAGACACCGCCAACTTCCTGATTCCGGGCAGCTACTGAGAATTTCTTGACAGAAAAACTCAATAATTGATTTTTGGCCCGACCCGGAATTCGAACCCAGGACCTCATGATTAGTTTAATCATAAACAGGCAGCTTACAATTGTATGAGTTTACCTAATTAGCAGTCAATCCGCAAAATACTTACTTGATCAGCAAGATCGACATTGACACTGGGTCTAGGGTTCCTGTTGTATTGTTGTTCATGTTAATTTTTTGACAATAGGTTCAAGGTGCGACTTGGGTGGCATTTAGGCCACCCTAAAGCCATTATAATAGTATAAAATATAATATTGAAAGAATTGAACTTGCTGTACTAAAAAATTTACAGCCGTCCAGAATGTCAAAAATTGTCGATTGATTTAATAATAATTGCTAGCCATGGTTTGCCGAACAATTATCTACTTAACCTTAACCCTTTAAATAACTTAACCCTTTAAATAACTCCCATATAATATTTAATTGTGTTAGGTCCTGCCTTATGTATGGTGGTGAAAGTTGAAAGTGGCAGAAGAAGTACGAGGGTAGAATAAATGGTGTACAAATGCGTTCATTAAGTATTATGTTAATGACTGAATGACAGGGTGAAAGGGCATTGTAGGATGTGAGAAAATGTAGTTTGCAAGAAACTGTTGTATCCACGATTAAGAAAGGTGGTTTGGTCGTGTAGAAAGAATGAATGTGGAAAGAGTAAAAAAGTAAATTTACGTTGCAAAAGTGAACGGCAGAGTCGCTCTAAACAGAAGTGTATCGAACAAACTGTCAATATAATATTGAAGATGACCGAAATTAAGAGTACCCTTAATTGACGAGCGTGTATGATTAGATATAGTTATTCAAATTGTCCTGAGTCATGACTAAGCTTCTGAAATTAGAATACTCATAAACACGATATTTGTAAGTAGCCATAATTTTACAACAACAGTTTGATCAAGAATAGTGCTGATTAAGTTTTTGATAATTAGTGAAAACATGTTATGAAGTTTAATGTTACAGAAGACGCTGATTCCAGTATAATTGTTATCACTGGTCAAACCAAGGTGTCTACTTTCAGTCAACCGTTTCGTTTTGATTGTCCCATAAATGCCATTGCATTTAGAATTATATTCATTACAGTCTTGATCGTAGTCAAGTAATGACTTAGTTAAGGAAGTCAGTAATACACTATATTAGTTTTAATTCATTATTGTAATGAAATAGGAATTAATGTCATCGAGACAAATTTGTAATTTATTCAGCACCGCTCCCGAAACTTAACTACCACCATTGTCGTTGAAATTTAAATATTTGCTTACTGACTGGAGAAGGACCACATCGATACTATATGGATGATAATAACCCCTGGGAATGAGGTGATCGCTACGTTTTGTGTTGTTAATTGTGAAAATATTATAGCTGTTTTTTTAAGTAAACATTTAAATTTCAATAACTATTATTTTAAAATAATCTGTTTCCGTTTTTAACTATCAAGGGAAATTGGAAATTGGCAACGCGTCAAGATGATTTAATTTAATAGAGAACAAAACATTAGGTGAAGAATTTTAAAATAGATTAGATCACGGATTTTAGAATTTAGTTCTTTAGGAACTTTACGTTGTTTAATTAAAATATTAATAAAAATTTATGGATCATGCACATTAATGTCCTTTTGACCGAATTTCGGGCTCCCGTTTCAACGGAGATTAGCCATTGCGTAGATGAAGATTATAGTTCCCGAGTGAATGTTGCCTAGGTACACTGTCCATTCCCTCACTTTTATAGCCCGATGGAACGGCAATCCAATAGGACGAAGAAATAAGGCGCAGGATCAATTCCTCGCTTTCCGAGGCACGAGGGGTGAAACACCGCCAACTACATGACTACGGGCTGCTACTGAGGATTTATTGACAAAAAACCTCAATAACCTCAACCTCAATAAAAATTTTACGTGGTAGAGCCATGCTGCAGTTATATTAGTAGTATAGTTGTGGGTGTGAAATGTTGCTTTATTATGGTATACCCTATTGGTGAAAATCTATTTTGATTTTTTGAGTTTTTCGTTGTTAATACAATAAATAATTTTTCGGCTTGACTCGGAATTTAAACCCGAGACCTCACGTCGAGCAGCCGCGTTTACGACCACCAGATCAACGAAGGAGTCATGTAATAACGATAATGTGCACCAGTTAACTGTTATGCACATTAAGCATGCATTTGTAGTGTAAGAATATTCACTACCATAAATATGTATGTATACTACCATAGATTGGATGACCTTTATACCGTCTGGAAAAAATAGTGTGTAACATGTGAACGGAGTAGAAGTCTATTGAAACTGAAATTTTACAAAAAATAAAAACAAAAATTTCGAATTAAAAGTTTTAAAAAATTTTTGAACTATTACTTTGCCCTTGGCCCTTGAGCCTGTGACCCTGCGAAGTCACAAGGCCAAAGATGCCTATTAAATTTATTGTTTTATTGCCGTTCGTAAAGTAGGATATGATTTGAATATTGATAGATTATTATTAACTTAATTCAATTCTTTTTTTTATTTTTTGTAAAATACTAGGCTAGGCTTCTACTCCGTTCACATATTACACCCGATTTTTTCCGAGGGTAAAAAAGGTCATGCAGTATTAAATAAAACAAATCAACACTAAACAGGAAAATTTTATGAAACAACGCTGTTTTAGATATACTTTTTTATTTGAATTAATAATCATCATCCCGTCGAGATCAGATTTTATTGAAGTTCTAATAGTTTTTTTTCCAGATATTTCAATGTGTAATAAATAACAATATACGCGCATTTATATTAGAAGACAATTTTTTTTACGTTTCTTTTTTATTTGCTACTAGAGTAGGCAATAATTCCGCCCGTTGTATGCTGTCTTAAACGAGAATGCAATAAAAACTAAAATGGTGGATCAGAAAATAAATGAATACATTAAGTGAATTTCTGTGTACTTACTATAATCAGCTGGATTGTGGTACATCGGGCAGGGTATTCCTGCTTGCTCAAGGTAAGGGACGAGATTCCGCGTCGTGCCTTGATACATACAGTAGCCCGCTGCCAACACGTACACGTGGTCGAAGAGGGCGAACAGAGAAGCCGAGGGTTGGTGGACTGTGCACACGATGGTACGGCCCTGGTGCGCCAGACTCCGGCAAAGCTGCACAACTTGTGTACAGGAAGAACTGTCTAAGCCGCTGCAAGGATTTTTTTTATATTATTGCTGCTATCAAAAATATGTCTTGGGTGACTTTGTAAGGTGATAAATTATACTATCTGATCTCGATGGTGATGTGTACCCAAAACTCAAACCAGAGTGACCGACATAGCCCAACGGATTAGTAAGCTGAAGTGGCAATGGGCCGGCCATATAGCTCGAAGTACCGACAACCGATGGGGAAAAAAGGTTCTTGAGTACTCGTAGCAGCCTCGTACAGGTAGGGCGACCCCCACTAGATGGGGTGACGACCTAGTAAGACATGCAGGAAGTCGATGGATGCAGGTGGCTCAGGACCGTGCGCGTTGTGGTATTCCTCGTGGGAGGCCTATGTTCAGCACTGGACTTGTTAAGGGCGGTAATGATGATGATGATAACATATTTTCTTACATACATACATAACACATAAAATCTCCCACCGTCACCAAGAGGGGTAGGCAGACGCTACGGACTTTGATCTGACAAGATCTTGTATCCCCTCTCTCGGCCTCTTACATCCTAATACGAGGGTGGATTGAAAAGTACTCGGCCTAACCAAGAAAATAAACACATACTAAATCAGTTATATTTTTATTTTTCTACATAATCACCATCAAGTTCAATACACTTCTGCCACCTCCCCTTCCAAGCATTTAGACCGTTGAAAAAAAATGATTCTTCCTTAGAGTCAAAATATGCGTCTACAGCTGCTTTGACCTCGTCGTTTGTCGAAAATCTTTGACCTCCCAAGTGCTTTTTTAGGTTAGGGAACAGAAAGAAGTCTGATGGTGCCAGATCAGGTGAATACGGCGGATGCGGTAACAGTTCAAAGCCACAGTTGTGAATTTCAGCCATTGACTGTACTGACGTGTGAACACGGGCGTTATCTTGATGAAACAGGACTTTTCTTCTGAGCATTCCCCGACGTTTTTCTTTTTATTTCCTCTAGTAAACGACGTAGTAAGGTGCAGTAGTAATCAGAGTTTATAGTCTGACCCCTTTCAAGATAATCAATCATAATCACACCTTTCGAGTCCCAGAATACTGAAGCCATCACCTTATTTGCCGACAAAATCGACTTAGCCCTTTTAGGGGGTGGTGAACCAGGTCTTCTCCACTGTTTTGATTGTTGTTTTGTTTCCGGTGTACAGTAATGAACCCATGTTTCGTCCATAGTAACAAAACGATTCAAAAAATCATCTGCATCGGCTTCAAATAACTCCAAACAGTCGCGTGAAATAGTCAATCGCGTCCTTTTTTTGTTCAACTGAAAGCAGTCGCGGAACCCACCTCGCAGACACCTTGTGGAAACCCAACTCGTTGACAATGATGTTTTGAGTTCGTTCATAAGAGACGCCTATAATCTCGGCTATCTCTCTAATTTTTAATCTGCGGTCTCCCATTATTAAATCAAGTACTTTTTTTAATATTTTCGTCAGTAGTTGACGTCGAAGGCCTTCCAGAGCGGGGTTCATCTTTCACACTCTCTCTACCACGCTTAAATTCTGCTATCCATTTTTTGACGGATGAATATGACAGAGCACAATCGCCTAATGTACTGACCATGTCATCATGGATGGCTTTTGATGATAGCCCCTTCTTATGTAGGTACTTAAGGACGGCACGCTGCTCGATTTGCTCCATTCGCGGAAATTATGTCCGATTACTTTGTTAATAAATTTATAAAATCACAACTAATTATCGCACACGTTTCGAACTTCACACAATGAACTAGTCTGAACTGAACTAAATAATGTGGGTAGATTTGATTTTTAGAATTGAATGGATCTGTGTTAGGCCGAGAACTTTTCAATCCACCTAGGTATTAATGCATTCATATTCATAATTTGGTCCATCTTTAATGAACCGCAAATTTGGTTAATAAATTTCCGCCTATGACGTTCCTTGCCAACTTTACCACTCACGTCTACACCATAAATTTGCATTATCTTTCCTTAATCACTCTTTCTACATCATTTGCATTCTCTTTCCTTAATCGTTATTTCTACATCACCATACCACCAAAGCATTATTTTCTTTATCCTGCTGATATTATATTTCAAAGCAGGTTTTTCTCTTATTACAATTTCTTACGCTATCATTTAATGACACCATTAACGTAATTCTTAATAACCGCATTTCTATAGTATTAAGTCTAAGCTAAATACTTCTTTGCCACACTGCACAACTTTTTTGAAATGTCTTTTATCCCCAAATAAAAATCAAAATGCATTTGGGTTGTCACTCAGGGACTAAGACGGAATGCTTCGTATCCGTTAAAATGGGACTCCAGTTACAGTGGTACTAAACATAACAGTTTAGTGCTACTATTCAAGCTGGTATTTTGTGAGAGCGTAGTCCTTCCCCAGTCGAGCTGGCGCAATCGTGATTCAACTATAATATAGCTGCAGCGTGGCTTTAGGACGAAGAAAGGATGTCTAACAGGTGCGCTACCTCTGTTTTCTATAGAGAATATGCCCACTGCAAATTGGAGGCGTGGTCATAACACCATCGAGACAGTGTATCAGTAGAGTTAAAGTCAAAAATACGCACCACTGTGTATAGAGATTTCGCCCAACTTTGCATTATTTGCAGTAGGCATCTTTCATAGGAATGAAATAATTCGTAGGTACCTAAGAATATTACATTCATAGGAAAGATGCTCATTACTACTACTGCTATAATGGTAACTAGCTTGCCAGGCAGACCTTGTTCTGTCATGTCCTATTAAAGACCCTTAAATTCGCATAACGGACAAACAACGTAACACGTAATTTATATATATTAAGATATTGAAAGAGTTACGACACTTAGTTACATTGTAGAAAATATTTTTGATTTGTTTTAATAATGCCGTAACTGTTCTATACAATCGGCGAGAATCGTAATAAGAGTGCAGAATCGATAAAAATCTATAAATACTCACGTTGTTGGTTCGTCGAGAAACATAATGCGTGGATTGCTTATGAGCTCCAGCGCTATAGTTAACCGCTTCCTCTGCCCGCCGGACAGCTGTGCCGCGCGCGTGTTCATGTGTTCGTACAGACCCAAGTTCGTCAGGATGTCCTCGATCTGATACAGCATTAATTAAAACTAAAATGTTAGTGGTCAACGCGTTATAACCATAGATTACCGCTGGCCTGGCCTGGCTGGTATTTTTCATAAAAGCATATTAGGCTTTTATGAAAAATATCTTCTAATACTTAAATTAATTTTACCTCAACCATATCATCACGACAGCCCCTTAAAAGTCTATTGCTAATAATAGATCCGAGCCACCTGCATCCATAGACTTATCTACTAATCATCATTTTACCTAGTGAGGGCCGCCCTGCCTCCGATATCGGTGCTGGGCTTCCACTCGAGAACTTTTCTCAACTACTAATCGTCAGTTGTTTGAGGTATATAGCAGACATATTTCCACATCGGCTTACTAAAATTTACATCAACATATTTTAATACATTATTTTATTCCATAGAATAAAGGTGATAAACGAGCATAGTCCACCCGGTGGTAAATGGTTACATGACCCATAGACATCTGCGTCCATTATGCAATTATTATGCATTATGCATAAATGCAGATGCATTGCCACCCCTGAGGACTAAGCGTCGTTTTCGGTTATTGTCATTGACTTAATAACATTTAACCTATTTCGTACTAAAACTTCGTAACAAAAATGACAGTGTTACTTTCTATCCCTAATATAATAGTCTTCATAGAAAATTAAAAATATTCCTATAAAACCTTTAATAGGAACTTTATGTGAGCAATTCATGTAAAATATCTGTATTGTTTCTAGAAAGTGGCTGTAACGTTTTGGATGGAATTCTGAATTTAGATAACGTTTGATCACTTTTATCTAGATAGGTTGTACCCTGAGAATATTTGTTTTTAACACCGCGCAAAGTTCGAGCGGTCAGATACAGATATCAGGAGCGGTGAATTTGTCATATTTAAATAAATAATAATAAATAAATAACTTTATTAGCATAATTACATTCCTTTCCTTTATAATATTACTATATGTATTAATACAATATGTTTAAAATAAGCTATGTACAAATTTTACAATTTTTTTTAAGTTGCTTACTTCGGTTTGTTATTGCCGGCTGTACTAGACCGAGCCTGTATATCACAGACGGCAGTTCCTTCCTCCATGACACAGAATATATTATATCACTAAATTTAACTTATATTCACCAAAGACAAAACACAATAACAATAACGACAACAAAAGTTAGTTTTATACTAAAGTTAACAATGATATTCAATTATTATTTTTTTTATGAGTACCGCCATAAAAGTTAACATTTTTTAAGAAAGGTAAGGTTAGACCACTTAATACAATGAACTTTAGCTAAATTATAATAATATAGTAGATATAGTATAGTAGTAGTATAGTAGTAGTAGATAGATTTATCTGTCTGGATTTAGTCGCAGGTGTTTGTGAGTTGCAGTCACGTATCATACTTACAAAATCTCACATAATGCTGCACTGCCTTACTCATTATTGATTATACAGTCCATAAAACTATAATATTTTGCGAACTGTTTATAAACACAATTTTAATATGTTAATGTTTTTTTTTTATGGTAGAGCGGACGTACTAGCATGCGGCTCACCTGATGGTAAGTGACTACCGCCGCCCATGTACAACTGCAACACCAGGGGAATTGCAGATGCGTTATCGACCTTTTAGAAAAGAGTGAGCTCTTTTCTTGAATGTTCCTAAGACGTGTCAGTCTGGAAAAATCTCTCGCGGTAGTCGATTCTACAAGGAAGTTGAGTGAGGAAGAAAACTTTTTCTAAATCGCACAGTAGTGGACCCCCAATTATCCAGATGGTATAGATGGTATCTTGAGTTCGGTCGCGATGTGCCATGGTGAAATTAAGCGGCTAGAATTAGTCCGAACAATGTTCCCTCTAGAAAGAATTACGGTCTCAAAGGAGACTAGCCATCCTGCGTAGGACAGGACGTTCAGTGCACGAGTGTGTGCAGAAATACAGTAGCACTTTCTATTCCCACACTGTCATAGTGCTATGGGACGGTAATTAAACACAAATGGAGAAAGACCAGGCGTAGAGTCAACGAATTTACTTGCTTTGGGAGGCACGGAGTAAAAACACCACCGAATCTGTAATGAGAATTTCTTGACAGGAAAATCCAATATATATTTCGTCCCAACCCGGGATTCGAACATAATGATATATTGGAGACTTTTAGACTATAAAATATCATATTGAACTTACAACTTCTCCCTTCTCGTATTTATCTAACTTGGTGGGCAGTTTAAGGTCCGCTGCGAGCGCCATGTTCTCGCCCACGGTTAGTAAGCCCTGTAGCCGGTCGTCTTGCTGGATGTAGCACGACATGCGCTTGAATCTTTCTGAAAACCAATAAACAAAGTAAATATCTGAGTTCTGAATTTAGATTAAAAAAATATACAGTAACCACAAACCATTTCGTGCTACGCATAGTATCTGTAGCACAAATGGATTGACTCTACCATGGAACGCACAGCACAATAATTCGTTTGCTATGGTGATTTATGAGAGCTGTAGACCCTTTCTTTCGTAATGATTTATTCCATCTTAGTCTTTAGCAGTGAAAACGGGTTTGCATTTTGAGAGTAGATGTTACCTATTTAATTTTTAAGCGGTAGAGCTATGCTACAGCTATATTAAGGTTGTAGCACAAATTAATTGGCTAACCGGGAGATGAATACCAGAGTAAAATAGTAGTTCAACGCTGCTGAGTGTCATATGGTGAGTGTAGAGAACCGGAGATCTATTTTACTGGAAACGAGGCATTCCGTTTTAGTCGTCAGAGATGACAACCCATTTGTTTTTTAATTCTTAACCGACGATATACGTAGGTGTCTACGAGCCACAGCATCCACTCACCATCCGGTGGACTGTGTGCTCTCTTGTCACCCTTATTCTATAAAAAAGTCTATAGGCCACAGACTTAAACCACAGTTTTAAGGCCTTACAGTAGTGTAACGCCTTTGATGTCCGGCGATGCCACGTAGGTACTTACGCGGCGGCGTGTCTGTTAGGAGTTGTCACGACAGTGAAAATAAAATGATTTTGGGTATTATAATACTCATTATCATTTACTAACATTATGTACATACTTATGTAAGTTAAAAATGTTTATTGACCAAGATCATTTTTATGACTACAGAAAAAAAACATATTTACAAGTGTTGCACTGCCAAATATTTTCGTGACTTTCTTTTTATAGATGTTTTCAGTTTTCGATGATTAAATTTAATAATTGCGTTTTTTAGATAAACTTTTTATCAAAAAAGTGATGGAAACATAAGCATGGCCGTCATTTGAATACGATTTCAATTAGTAACTCATATAACTATAACAGAAATTTACCATAATATAATATTTTTCGAAAACGGCACTTGAAAAATCAAAATTAGTTGAAAAAGTATTATAAAACACGCTCGCGCTAACCGTATGTATTGTCTATCAGACACTAGCTCGAAGTACCCCCACCGTTGTTTCTGTACTAGTTCATTCGTTTCACAACTGTAAGGTCTTTAAACTGTCATCATCATCATTACAGCCCTTCACTTCTCCACTGCTGAACATAGGCCTCCCCCAAGGTATGCCACAAAGTAAGGTCCTGTACCACCTACATCCATCGACTTCCTGCATGTCTTACCAGGTCGTCACTCCATCTAGTGGGGGTCGCTCTACACTTCGCCTACCGGTACGAGGCTGCCCCTCGAGAACCTTTTTTCCGCAACGGTTGTCGGTTCTTCGAGCTATATGGCCGGCCCATTGCCACTTCAGCTTAGTAATTCGTTGGGCTACGTCCGTCACTTTGCTTCTACTGCAGATATCCTCATTTCTAAGTTTATCACGCAGAGAAACTCCGAGCATAGCCCTCTCCATAGCTCGCTGAGCGACTTTGAGCGTCCTCATACGGCCAACAGTGAAGGACCACGTCTCGGTTCCGTAGGTCATCACTGGCAACACGCACTGGTTGTACAACTTAGTTTTTAGGTTTTGAGGTATACCTGACGAGAAGATGCTCTTTAAACTGTGCTTGAACCTTACTTACCTATTTCAAAAAATATATCTAGAATTTACGCAATAAAATAACTTAACAATTAACTATTATGTTCCTTAGTTTTATGTTAGTTAACAATTATGTTATTTACAATGCGTGAATGAAGCATTAATAATAGATAACTAATTTTATAAATTGAGTATGTACTTGAATTTTTATATCTCATAAAATTTAAGTCGATTGTTAACTTTGTGTTGTACTTTTATTATCTAACGCCATTACGTATCTTTCCAAATCGATAAAAGCATTAAGCGTTAGAAAGTAATAATGGCTGCAATTCTAAAACGGTTTTGGTATCACTTACTCAGAATTCGGCCTCTTCCATTAATGAATACGGCTCCTGCGACGCCGGTGATACGATATCCAGAGAGTACGTCTAGCAGTGTCGATTTTCCAGCGCCTGATGGTCCCATTATAGCAATTAGTTGATTTGGTCGCAAGCGTCCATTCACGCCATGTAGAATTTGTTTGTGTCCTGGGAACAATATTTTTATTGTTTACTTTGATTAGAACATGGTGGTAGCCTAAGGATAAGCCCTCACATTAAAATTTCATAGGTCCCAAACACCGTGAAGCAACCTGCATGAATGAGAATACTATTAAAAATATTAAGGGGAAATTCTTCTAGAAGATCCTTTTCTGCTCCAAAACCTCTCTATTTTATAGAAGAAGAGGCCAACGAGCATACGGTTCACCCGGTAGCAAGTCACATCACACAATCACAATGGCCAATGAACATTTGCAACACCAGGAGAATTGCAGTTGCGTTGCCAGTCTTTTAGAAAGGAGGTCCCTTTTCTTGAATGTCTATGGAAAGCCATTTGCTGAACATAGGCCCTCCCATAGTTTCCTATAGCCCTCCCTTATACATTATATGTATATAGTTGCCGTACTTGGCGGGCATGTTGGTAACGGCAGTTAATTTTTTTATTTTTTAGTTGTTAGATATTTAGAAGACTTCTGTCGCTCTTTACGACACCCACGGGTGTGCGTGTGTGCGTGTGTGCGTGCGTGCGTGCGTGCGCGCGTGCGCGCGTGTGCGCGTGTGCGCGTGTGCGCGTGTGCGCGTGTGCGCGTGTGCGCGTGTGCGCGTGTGCGCGTGTGCGCGTGTGCGCGTGTGCGCGTGTGCGCGTGTGCGCGTGCGCGTGTGCGCGTGTGCGCGTGCGCGTGTGCGCGTGTGCGCGTATGCGCGTGTGCGCGTGTGCGCGTGTGCGCGTGTGCGCGCGCGTGTGTGTGTGTGTGTGTGTGTGTGTGTGTGTGCGTGTGCGTGGTGTGCGTGTGTGCGTGTGTGCGTGTGTGCGTGTGTGTGTGTGCGCGTGTGCGCGTGTGCGCGTGTGCGCGTGTGCGCGTGTGCGCGTGTGCGCGTGTGCGCGTGCGCGCGTGCGCGCGGTGGCGCGTGCGTGCGTGCGTGCGTGCGTGCGTGCGTGCGTGCGTGCGTGTGTGTGTGTGTGTGTGTGTGTGTGTGTGTGTGTGTGTGCGCGTGCGTGCGTGCGTGCGTGCGTGCGTGCGTGCGTGCGTGCGTGCGTGCGTGCGTGCGTGCGTGCGTGCGTGCGTGCGTGCGTGCGTGCGTGCGTGTGCGTGTGCGTGTGCGTGTGCGTGTGCGTGTGCGTGTGCGTGTGCGTGTGCGTGTGTGTGTGCGTGTGCGTGTGCGTGTGCGTGTGCGTGTGCGTGTGCGTGTGCGTGTGCGTGTGCGTGTGCGTGTGCGTGTGCGTGTGCGTGTGCGTGTGCGTGTGCGTGTGCGTGTGCGTGTGTGTGTGTGTGTGTGTGTGTGTGTGTGTGTGTGTGTGTGTGTGTGTGAGTGAGTCAAACGTTGAAACGTCGAGTTTTAAAAAATAAAATAAATAAACGCGATAAAATCCGTAAAAGTAGTTTTAATCAATTTCAGCCAAATAGCTAATCGAGTAGTGCTCTTCTATTTTCATTGTATGCTGATCTAGCAGATTCCATTTTCTTAAAATCGCATATAAATACAAAAAAACAGTAGCGTAACGAACGTCAATGCCGTTAAGATTAAAGACGTAGGTAATACCCCGCCGCCCCGCCCCGCCGTACCCGGCCGCCGGCCGCTGGGAATTACCGGAAGTCAATGATAAAATAACGTTTTGGTTCACAGTCATTTAGAACTATGTTATAACGTGATATTAGCTAAAATTTTTAGAAATTAAACATAAAGTTCTTAGTGGTATCTTTTTTAAGTCAGCTTTGTGAAAAAATAGTTTTCTTTTTATACAAGCTGCAAAATGACTAATTAGGTACACGCATTTTACCCATATTACACTAATCAGAACACGAATATCAAAACAACTAATTTTTTTTCGTATTTCTTGATTCCGTTTACATTTTCGAAAAATCTGTAGGCCATTTACTATTATAATTTGGTGTCTTTTTTTTGATGTAATACCATTAGTGGACGTTAATATTTTTAGTGGGCCCAAAAATGATTGTCCCCTTTGAGTTGCAAAATTCCACCCGGAACGATAAACAGACAGAAAGACAAACAAGAAAGTGACTTAATAAAAACATTATGGTAATGATAAAAATTCAATAACGCACTAAATACAACAGTGTGACAACTTTTAAAAACGGTAGAATCGGGCTTTGTAGATTCCTTCATATGTAAACATGATAATGAGTTTCAAATAGGTAGTTAATAATATACTAACTATTAATTACTAATTTGATGACAGTACTGCCTCGTTGGTCTAGTGGCTGTAGCAGTGCGACTGCTGATCATGAGGTCCTGGGTTCGAACACCGGATCGGGCCAAAAGCATAATTATTGAGTTTTTCCTTTAAGTAATTCTCAGTAGTTGCCTGGAGTCAGGATGTTGGCGGTATCTCACCCCCGTGCCTCGGAAAGCACGTAAAGCCGTTGGTTCTGCGCCTGATCTCTCTCCGGTCGTGTCGGTTCACCGTCCTATCGGATTATGAGAGTAAGGGAATAGATGAATAGAGAGTGCACCTGCACATAGTGCTATCGCATACACTTGGGCACTATAATCCTGTCCTGCGCCGATGGCTAGCCTCCGTTGAGGCAGGCCGCCGTAGCCGAAATTCGATCTGGAGAACATTATTATTATTAACTTGATGACAACCAATTAGGGATGTTACGGAAGTAGTTATATCAGAACTGAATTCGGAAGCAGAGTTTTTAAATTTGGTTTGTTGGAACCGGAAGCGGAATCGGAGGTTAGGCAGAAGAGATAGTTATGCGTCTAATAAAATAAGATTACACACATTACTTATCACAAATATATTCGGTAAAAAACTGTCTTCGCCTTAACTGATAATTCGACACTATGAACCGTGTAAGTCGTCTGAATCCAATACCTTCCACGAAATTGAGGGGAAGATCTTGCAAAGCAATCATTTCAGGGAGGTTCCCGGCGCAACAAGTTTGCAACATGTTCGTATGGGCTGATAGCGGCCGCCACCGCCTCTATAGCTCTATAAATCGGCCTCCGATATAACTTCCAATTCCAAAAAGCCCCCCCTCCCCGCACCAAGCTTTCGGCTGAACTGAACTGCCTCCTGGCGGTTCAGGCCGAGTCTACTTAACACATCTCGTAATCTGCCTTAGTTAGACACACTTCTATGCGGCTTCTTGCGCCCTCCTTTCTCCCAAGGAGGGTCGCGTCCGTTTACGGCTTAAAGATCTCTCGTCAGATCGTTAAGCCAATCCCAAAAGGTGGTGTTTAGTGGATAAAAGTCTCCACATAACCACGCAGCTAGCTGCATGGTATGCTATGAGCATTCACCACCTCCCTCCCTCGTTACCGGAGGGTTGCCCTTAATTGCTTCGGGCGCAAAAAAAACTTCCAATTAAAATATATCGGTACCGAAATCGAAATCGTATGTGCAAAATCAATCGAAAGTTCACAACTTTCTGAAACGAGCCTCGGTAACATATCTAGAAACAATCACCCTATTCGGTTCCGTGGGCGTCATAAAAAGATACTCTAGACAATGCCAGACAAATCTTTTGACGTTAGAAAGATGGCAGTATAACCATCCCGTTTACGCAAGAGATAAAAATAGAGATCGGCAATGGGTATTTGGTGCGGTACTTTTGGTACTATCGCCACCCGTGTCGAGCGTGACAATTATGGCAAATCCTTACGACCGGAGACTCCCATGCTTGTGACCAGCGGTGGACGTTTATATTCTGATAGAGAAAAATAATACAAAAAATAATTTCATTACATAGTATGATATGGTACTTAATATTAGGCACAGTTTTCGCAGTTCAAACAAATCTCATATGTTTATGTTTATTTGCCGTTTAATTTTGACCTATCGCTAGGTTTCCTTAGTTCATCCCGACCCAAGAATCGATAACCTTTACGCGCGTCACTGCCATATCGTTAAAGGCAATACACGCTCTTAGCCCGGATACATATAACAAATACTTAGATGTCAAAATAAACGCACATAATTTTTTAATAGGTTAATGACATTTACCCCAGTAGTTGGAAAGGCGCTCGTATTCAACATTCAACTTCAACTTTCTTAAAACTCGGAGTTCGATCACAAGCGTCAGCACCACTCAAAATATTAAATGCGTTTTGATGCAGTTATCTGACGACAATTACGCTTAGTTTCGATTTAAGGCGACAATTCCAGATAATCAGAAATAATCAAACAGGGTAACATTTCAAGTGCTGACTTATAAAAGTAAGAAAAATTATTATAGGGAAACGAAAAGAACCCATGTTCCATGCATGCTGTAAGGCTTATGCGATTTGATCTAAAGTGCGCTAGGATGCAAGACTTAAAACACACGGGGACATTCACAATTTATTGTGAATGTCCGTATATCCAGTAAAATAGGACCTTCGGTTTTCTACCATACGAAACACAGCAGCATTAAGCTGCTATTTTACGATAGTATTCAGTGAAAGTGTGGTCCGTAACTGGTCGAATCGACTTATTCGTGCTACAACTATAATATAGCTGCAACATGGCTCTACCAAGTGGTAATTAAGGAAATTCGTAAAATTGCAGCGCGAACCGCATCAAAATCCATGAGTAATTTTTAAATTGTAAGCGAATACACAAACCAACACAACTTTGTTTTATACTATCTAGTGATAGATAAAGTGATGACCTGGTAGGAGAAGCAGGAAGTCGATGTATGAAGGTGATTCACGGGACCGTGCTTAATGGTATACATTGAAGGAGGCCTATGGTCAGCCGTGGACATATGCGCAAATATAGGCAGTAGTTAAAACGCTGTAAATATATTGTGATAAAACAGATTTCGTGACGAGAACAATCTCATCTGTAGATGTTTTAAAACGCGACCACAGACGCCACTTAGGAGAAGTACCAGGAGACGATGTGGTTTTCTATAGGGCGGTATAAAATCCGGGCATAAACTTAATTTGGTCAAGTTGTATGGTTTTACTGTTAAAGAAGGAGGTAATCAAGCTTCAGAAATGTCAGAAAAACTTTTATTGGAAACAGACCATCTACA